CACGACCAATACTTGAGGCATGGCTAATCTTCTCCTTGCGGACACGATCGCCCTCCTTAGTCAACCGAAGATCGTCGATACCACAGGTAAATGCGCGCATGTTCAAGAATCTTGTCAAGAGTCGTCCAAGAATACCGATCAATCTCCCCGCGATCTCATGACCGTAGATCTCGTGAATGGAATCAATCAATCCGCCAGCGGTAGGTCCAACTTGCTTCTTGTCGAGGATACCACACAGCATTTCACCATCCTTGAATATAACGGTTCCTTCTTCATTGCCCTCGCCCCATCGGTCTCCGGGGGTTGAAGACTTGCTCTTCAGATTCAGACCAGCTCGGCCTGGGGGCATGATATTCTTAAGGATCGTGGTGATGATCTGCTTTCCGGTCCACAGGCGCTTCGGACGAATCACAGTCGGACCCACGAGTTGAATGCGCTCTGTGATCGTGTGAGAGTTTTCTGGTCTCAGACAGTTATACAACAATTGGTGGTAATCTTCTTCATCAAAGAAGGAATCCCGGCATGTGAACCAAGTTCCCATCGAGATATGGTCCTGGATAAGACCTCTCAGTGGTTTACCCGATGTTGCGACGAGATATTGGTGGTTTGCATCGGCGAGCATCATAGCCTCGGATCGTGCAAGCTCGTTTTGTGGGAAATGCATGTTCATTTCGTCACCGTCAAAGTCGGCGTTGTAAGTATTGCAGTTGGCGTAGTGCATCCGAATTGTTCTTTCATTAGGAAGGACCCGAGCTTTGTGACCCATGATGGACGGCTTGTGAAGCGTAGGTTGACGGTTCATCAGAACGACATCACCAGTGGTAAGATGGCGATAGACCTTCTTGTTTCGAGATCCCTTCATCCGCCAGTTCGAAGGAGCAAGAAGCTGGTTCGCAAGAGCTGTCCGCTCATCCAGACTCTTAAATTTGAGGTTGGTGACCTGGCCCATTTCGTTCTCAATGGCAGCGGCACCAGGGTACTTGTCCGGTCCGTTGATGACTGCTTGCTTCATCTCCCAGAAGTTGTGGTTGGTGACAGGCTCAGGATAAGTCAACTTCTTGGCGAACACAAGCGGGACACCGATTTCGTTGGTTTCAATGTTGGGATCCGGTGAAATGACACTACGGGCAGCAAAGTTAACACGCTTACCCATCATATTCTTTCTGAACAGACCCTCTTTCTTTTCCAAAATTTGCTTGATACCGTTGGGGGCGCTAGCTGCTGCTGGACCCGAAAGACCGCTACGATCGCGGTCATGGAGGCCATTGACAGTGTCCTGGAGCTGCACGATAGCATGGAGCAGATCACGGTAATCCCGCATCCTGGTGACAGAGTCGGAACCAGCATTCTGCCTTTCCTTGCTAATCTGGTTGATGATGTCGCAGTTCTTCAGGATCTGTGTGAACGCTGTGTTTTGCTGCGCCTCCATGATCAAGCCAGGTCCCTGGGCGGCAGCTGGACGGTACTTGTTTGGTGGCACCAGGATGTTCTTGATGAAAAACATATCCGCGCTGACCTTAGACTCACCCTTCAAAATAGGTCTGGAGCTGTACACAAGGTTCAAAATCTCTCCTTCCTTCTCAAAGAGCAGGACCATCGCAGCATGGACCTCAGGAGAAGGCATGAATTGCTGGGTCTCGCCTGCGGTTTGCTTCTGTTCGTCGATCTGGGTGACAACGGCATTACCACGAGCCACCTCTTCTTCTGCACCGTGGAGCTCGTCGTCGACAATTGCTTGCTTCCCCTTCAGATTAAGACTCTTGGCCTGTTGGAGAAGGATCAGAGAATTGGGAGCTTGGAAACCAGCTTGCAGCATTGCGAGTCGGGACTTCTCGGCTAGAGGTTTGCGGAAGATCTTCGAGTGTCGGTCTCTCCGGTATCCTGGCGAAATACTTGTCCAATGTCAGCGGCTGTCCCCACGTTGAAGATTATAAGATATTTGGGCGTCAACGCACCCGCTGCAGTTGGTGCATTTCTTGAAGCTGACAATGTCTTTGAAGAAATCCTTGACCACTGTCCGTCTCTGCTCCGTCGCGATCGGATTCTTTGCGCCAGCCATCAGACTCTTTAACCTGCCGGACGCCTGAGCTTCCCGAATGCACTTCTTCACATAGGTATTTCTGCGTTCGATCATATCCTCCTCGTCTTCGTCCTCACTGTCCGAGCCTTCGTCTTTCGATTTCTTCTTGTCCGTTTTTCCGGTTCCCATTGAGTCGATAACACCGGCTTCGTCGACCAATCCATACTGTAGAAGCCGCAGCTTACACACGTAGGTATTGATTTGAACACGGGACATTTGGAAACGATGGCAGTAGATACATTGCGCCCGGATTAAGCGGAAGAGCTGGTCAAAGAACGTAACATTATAAACGTGAAGGGGCAGTTCGACATGTCCAGGATGACCAGTACAGGACCAAGAATTCAAGCGACATGTTGTGCAGCTAGATTGCAATTAGTCTCTCATCACGTACACTGCAATAACAGCAGATCCGGCAAGGCCACCAAAAGCAAAAATACGATTGAACCGCAAGGAAGTGCACTTACACATGGTCACCCCATGCGCCTAGGGCCGGATCATAAAGACCACCTGGAACAGGGTTGTTGAAGGTATCCAATGTCGGAGTATTATGGATTCGCTTAACAGAGATAGCTTTGACGTCGTCGTTGGAATAGACGCCAAAGTCGATACCCCCAATCGAGGAGGCCACAGGACGTGCGAAAGTCGCCATGGCTCCCAGAACTGCCTGGCGCGACAGAAAAAAACTTCTTGTTTTCTTGAATAGGCCTGGAGGACGAAAAGCCGATCTCCAAAAGGCCCGGCGAAAAATTAACCCAAGAACTTTTTTCTGCCATGCGCCACCGCCTTCAGTCCACATCGGGAATCGGCCCGTGATCTCAACCGAGTTCTTCTGCACTGCATCTATCCCACTGAGTCCCTCGCAACGCGCTTATATATCTCTTCCCGACCTCATTCTTTATACGCGCATTACTGGCTACGGTCTGGGATCTGTGGGTGAGTGATTTTGACACGAGCCATGGACGTGTCAGGCAACATACTGAAGCGGCCTCACCCCGAGGACGAAGAGAACAATACACAGAAGAAGACCCGCTCCAACGATGGCTCTCCAGTACCTGCCCAGGGAGGCTCTGCCGGCGGCAATGTCGATTTGTCAAAAATGCTGGCAGAGGCAAAAGCAAGAGCAGATGCTATACGCGCACGACTTGGGCCTGTGAAAGGCGCATCTCCGACAACTACATCATCAGCAGAGCCTACTCCCAGTTCTACTCCTCCCCCAAACCCTACCATGTCTAGATTGGAACAGATGAAAGCTAGAGTAGCAGCAGCTACCGAAAAGGCCAATGCAGCGGCTCAGCAACGGCCAAGGGCTCCTCCTCCTCCGTCTTACCTGCCTCCGGAAATGGAAGAAGACAGCACACCGAAGGCTCGAGGAGGATTAGATGTTGGTTTACACCCTGCTTTGCTTTCAGATTTCTCGGCGGATTTTCGAGGCGCCAAAGGAAGACAATCCCAAGCGAAAGCAGCCAATCGACGCACTGATTCCCCGATGCCTGCGAAACCAGGACTTGATCTTTCGGGTCCATCTCTGGAAGAAATCAAGGATAACCCGTATTTTGATCCAAGTCTTGGGCCGAGGACCACGATTGCGAAGCCGCGGCAGTCAAGACAACTTGTTTTCAATCAGAAAGGGAAATACATGCAACAAGCGGCTGCTCTACGTCGACAAGCTCAGCTTGAGGCTATGAAGAAGCGTATTGCGGAACGGACGCGACAGGCGGGTATTGATGAAGATTTGGACGTCGAAAAAGCGTTCCTTGTTCCCGCGCCGCCCGCGGTTGAGTGGTGGGATGAAGGTCTGGTGAACGGAGATAACTACTCTGCCATTGAAGATGAAAAGAACGTGAAGATCGAGACACCCGATACAATAGTGACTGCTTACATTCAACATCCTGTCCTCCTTGACCCACCACAGGAGAAGCATATGCCCCAACAAAAAGCCATGTTCCTCACACCCAAGGAACAAGCAAAGATTCGTCGACAGCGGAGAATGGCCGATTTGAAAGAGCAACAAGCGAAGATCAGATTGGGTCTTGAGCCAGCACCGCCGCCAAAGGTTAAGAAGTCCAACCTGATGCGGGTATTGGGTGAACAAGCCGTCAAGGATCCTACTGCCGTCGAAGCGCGTGTAACTCGTGAAATTGCAGAGCGTCGCGAGAAACACGAAGAAATGAACGCGGAACGTAAATTGGGCAAAGATGAACGCCGAGAGAAACTCGCAACGCAGCAAGAAAAAGACGCAGAGAGGGGTATTCACGTCTCTGTGTATCGGATCGATAGCCTTGCGAATGGACGAAATCGCTTCAAGATTAGCAAGAATGCTGAACAGCAGGCTCTTACCGGTGTCTGCGTCATGCACCCTCGATTGAACCTGGTGATTGTCGAAGGCGGCGCACACTCAATCAATGCCTACAAGAAACTCATGTTGAACCGAATCGACTGGGGCGAGAACCCTGGTTCTAACGGTGCCCAAGAGAACAAAAGTCGCGAGCCTCTCGCATCGTGGCTAGAGGCTGAGGATGACAAAGGGAATTTGAAGGATCTCAGTACTAATTCCTGTGATCTTCTCTGGGAAGGTCAAGCCAAAGGCCGTGCTTTTAGGAAGTGGCTAGGAGCGCGTGTCTGCGAAAGCGATTCGCAAGCTAAGGATGTCCTGGCTAGAGGGAAGATGGAAAACTTCTGGGTTCTGGCTAAAAGCGCGAAAACCAGTGAGTTCTGAGGAATGCAGACCTTGTATGTATAGTTAATAACCGTAATCGATTCATTCATCATGCTCATACAATCGAGCAAATTGTGGTCTATAATTGCTGTACAAAGTAGAAAAACTTTTATTCATCCCAAACCAAAAATCACATAACATAACCCTGCTTGCTCCTTCGAATGCAAACGTAATATGTCTAACAGACATATCATCAATGTACTATTACTGCGGAGGACGAGAAGACCCTTGGCCTTGGTTCCCATTACCCCATTGCTGTAAGAGGTTCAATTGCGCCCTGACCTGATCGAAATTTATCGCTGGAGGTTGGCCCACGGATCCTTGTGCCTGAGCTGGTGCTTGCTGAACTTGAGGCTGCTGCTGCAAATACTGTTGTTGGTATAGTTGGCGCTGTGCCTGTTGCTGATGCAAGGCAGCTAGAACCAGTTGCGGATTGAATTGCGGGTTCGGAGGCATCTGCTGATAAGGGTTTGCTTGCTGCTGGATGCCCTGTAGGTATGGCATCTGGAACTGGAATGGTATCGGCGATTGGGCCTGGGGATAGGGCTGTTGTTGTTGCTGCTGTTGTTGTGGGAAGTTAAACGGGGGTTGCTGTTGGGGGATTCCAAATGCGGGCGGCTGATTTTGTTGGTAGGGAGTTTGGGTGTAGGGATGCTGAGGTTGAGGTTGAGGTTGCTGTTGAGGCTGAGACTGGGCCTGGGAGTCATGGGGATAAGGCCGACGGTCATGATACGAGCCCTGACCGCGTGGTCCACCCCTGCCACGACCACCACGGCCGCGATCAGAACCTCTGCCTCGACCTCTGCCACCGCGGAAGCCTGACCCTCTCGTTGCGGATGGTCCGTCACCCTCGACCGGCGCCTCTCCTTGACCCATGATCTCGTGTAGATTCTTGGGGCGAGCAAGCGGGGTGTAGCCATCTTCACCGGCATCATCGTCATAGTTAAGCTCGGTCTGGTTGAGCCTCGAAGGGCCTGGTGGACCTCTTCTACCTCTTGCAGGTCCGCCATCGCCACGCCTAGCGTCTTTCTTCTCCTGCCGCTTCTGTTTGAGTTTCCGCTTGTAATCGGCCTCTGTTTCGTCGTCCGAGAATTCGACTTCGTCCTCCGCAATTTCTTCGTCGTGGAAGTTGGAGGCGTCGCTTCCCTTCATGCCTTTGAGAGGCTGGGTGAAGACGAATGAAGAGTGTTGCTCAACGTAGAAGATGCTCTGCCCTTTGGAGATGCCGCGCTCCTCCATGGCAGCAATACTTTCATAGCGGACTGTATACAAGGGATTCTCAACTCTACCCAGAGTTTCGCAAACCACACCAACGATCTTACGTTGTTCGTCGCATAGCAATGAGCCGCCCTCAAGTACCTGGTATTCGCCCGAGACATTGGCCTCGATAAGAACATTGTTCTCGACGATGGTCTGAACATGGCCCAGGTGCACAACCTTCATGTCAGGTGTGACTGTGACATCGGGAATCGGTGGTGCATCTTCTAAAATTTCGTTTGCCGTTTTGATATGGCCTCCTGATTTGCCTTTCCCATCACCTTCATCGTCGGAGCCAAGTTCCGCCTGCATCAAGATCCGCGCTTGTTCTTCGGCGCTGAGGATAGGGTAATCTTCGTCTTCGTCGCTGTCGTCATCAGAGGAATCTGTCGTATCGTCCGAAGATGATTCATATGGAGACGAGTCCACCTCCCATTCAGGGTGTTCGTCTTCTTCGTTTTGAGCGGCTTCGGTTGCGGGCGCAGCTTCTGCGGCGTTTGCAGTGGTTTTGATAGAGGAGTTCGCGTCTGGTAGTTCATTTGTAGCTCCCTCTTGCTTTTGCTGTGCGTCCTTCTGATCCACCTCCATTGCTTCCCCAGCTTGGGGTACTGGTTCCGGTTGCCGGTTTACTTGTGTCGGCTCTGTCGCATCTTGCATAACTGCGTGTTGCGGTTCAGACTTCGCATTAGCCACCTCATTTCCTTCCGTCATATCAGTGTCTTCTGTAGTCTGCGCCGGAATTGATTCGCTATTCGACTGCAAATCATGAAGGTTGTCATTGACGAGATTTAATCCTGGAATTAGTGGAGCTGGTTGAGAAGCGGTTGGTTCGGCAGCAGTAGAGACTTTTGCGACATCTTCTTTGTTTACATCTTTGCTCAAGGGCGTCCCTGCGTTGAATGGCGTGTTGTAAAAATCACTGCCATCCTCGCCCGGCGTCACTGCGACGGGTGGCGTCTCGTTCATGGCGCCTGGAACTGGGAGGCCAGGCTGTTGCTGATCACTCATTCTTATAAAATCAGAAGCAGGAGAGCTGTTGAGAACAACTCGAAAAGAAAGAAAAAATCATAGAATAAACTGGATGAAAGTGGAGGGTTACCATAGGGGCATAGAGAAAAAAAAAAGAAAAAAGATAAGATATGGAAGTGCGGTAGTTGCCGTTGCGGTCACCGGACAAGCTCCTCCGCAATAATGAGGACTTCCGATGGACTTTCTTCACAGCATTCTATTGATGTCAAATAAATCCATTGAAATGTCGTCTGCAGGCTCCTCTGCACAGATTCCGCCGCGCACCAAAAAACAGCGGTATGTCTGTGGTTGCTCCATCACATACGTTCTTTGGCCAGCTAACATAGAGCAGCGCCGGGCCAGCACCGTTCTACTTGCCATTGAATATAACGCTCTACGTGTTCCTCATCTCGAACTCGATTGCCGCTTTTCTCGCTCCGATTCAAGACTGCGACGAGGTCTTCAATTTCTGGGAACCCACTCATTATGTCGACTATGGATACGGGCTTCAAACATGGGAATACTCGCCGGTTTATTCGATCCGAAGCTGGCTGTACATTTCTCTCCACGCTCTCGTGGGGAAGGCTGGCTCGTTGATTTTCCGTGACAAGGTTTCTGCATTCTATATCGTTCGTTTCGCTTTAGCCGTCTTCTGCGCCTCCTGCGAGACAAAGCTGTACTCAGCAATTTGCCGAACTCTGAACCCGAGAATTGGACTTTTGTTCCTCATGATTGTCGCATTCAGTCCGGGCATGTTCCATGCTTCTACTGCGTTCCTCCCGTCGAGCTTTACTATGTATATGTCCATGCTGGGTTTGACGGCTTTCTTAGACTGGAGAGGCGGGCAAAAAACAGCGCAGGGTATTATGTGGTTTGGATTGGGTGCGATTGTCGGCTGGCCATTCGCTGGGGCGCTGATTGTTCCGCTTTTGCTTGAGGAGTTCGTCATTGGATTCCTTGCAGGTTCTCTCAAGAAAGTGGTTTACAGCGTCGTTGATGGGGCTTTGCGGTGTTTAGCCATTCTGGTATGTCCCTTTCTTTCTCGGAAGAAATTATCTTGCATACGTACTGACCACCCCCAAGACCGCTGAGGTCGCTGTTGACTATGTGTTCTTCCAAAAGTTCACCATCGTCCCGTGGAATATCGTCGCTTACAACATTTTTAGTGGCGAAGGAAGAGGTCCTGAGATCTTTGGCACGGAGCCATGGACGTTCTACATCCGAAATTTGCTGCTTAACTTCAATGTTTGGTTCATTTTTGCTATGCTGGCTGTGCCACTGCTTGGTTTTCAGGCAATCTTCCGGTCTCAGGCCACCAATAAGCAGACGATTCTACGAACCGTTACCCTTCTCACCCCATTCTACATGTGGCTCAGTATTTTCATTGTCCAGCCTCACAAGGAAGAGCGTTTTATGTATCCCGCATACCCCTTCCTTGCTCTTAATGCCGCTATTGGATTTCATATGCTCCTCTCATTTATCGGGTCTAGCAACCCGAAAGAGCTAATAGGGCGGGTGCCTGCCCAGTTCAAGCTTGCTGTAGTCCTCTCGATGGTTCTTCTGTCTATCAATGCAGGCTTACTGCGAACTGTCGGTATGGTCACTGCCTATAACGCTCCTTTGAAGGTGTTTGAACCTTTAGAAAAGACGGAAGTCCAGGCTGGCGAGCCTGTCTGTTTTGGCAAGGAGTGGTATCGATTCCCGTCGTCATATTTCCTCCCCAATGGTATGCGGGCGAAGTTTATCAAGAGCGAATTCAAGGGGCTTCTTCCCGGCGAATTCCCTGATGCCGCAGATTATCCCGCTCTTTTCGATGGTGCATCACAGACTCCCACTGGAATGAACGATCGCAACGAGGAAGATCCTGGCAAATATGTGAGCACCCATCTATTTATTATTTGCATCAAAATTTAGCTAATTCATAATCAGGTCGGTGTCTCTCAATGCTCTTATCTGGTCGATTCGTATTTCCCCGGACGTGAAGCAACCGAGCTGGAGCCGCATTACGTCGAAGACGAGTCACAGTGGGAGAAACTCTCCTGCAAGGAATTTCTGGATACCTCCCGGACTGGTCTCTTAGGTCGTCTGGTCTGGATTCCTGATCTACCGGTCATCCCGGATCGCTTCCGTCGGCATTGGGGACAATACTGTCTTCTCAAGCGGCATGGTGTTGGCGAGGTGTAAGTATTTGGTTAACATCAAGCCTAACGGTGTAAATATCATCAAAGATATACATTCAGGAGCTTGCATCTCCAAACTACTACTCAAGCAGCCGTGTTTGGCTAGCCTTACCCTGAAGGCTAGACCCAAGCAATCACAGAATGCTGCTTTAGACCGCCAGCATTGTAGGCATTGCGCCCTCCTGTGCATACCAATACCCTCGGTAAAATTGCAGAGCTGCCTCGGCAGGTACTAAGAAAACATTGAAGTACCTCGGAGGTTGACATGATCCGGTATCGAACTTGTTGATAAAATGTTGAATACGTCCAAAGACGATGCTCAGTTCATTACCTTTTTCTTAACAAAAAGACTCAAAGCAAACCCCAACCCCCCAATCCCCGTCAACAAAGCCATAACAGCTTGAAACCCCAGCGCAAAATCATCTTGAATCGTCTGTCTCATAACCGGCTTCTGCCCGGTATCCTGCATATCCCTCAATTTCTGCGCATACGCTGTCGCATCCGTCGCAATCCACCCAGGAAGCCCATCATTCGCCAACCGATCCTTCAACACATTTTGAAACATCGTACCCCCCGTAGCAACACCAAGACACATACCGAAACTGCGCAAAAAGCTATACACCGACGTCGCAACAGCAACATCATCCTGACTACAAGTAGCCTGCGCAGCAAACAGCCCCGGCCCCAAAAGAAAGCCATGCCCTATACCCGCAATAATCAACAGAATTACCCAGACAGCGGTCTTCGTATCTGATTCGAGGAGAATGAGGAGTCCGGAGGCAAGCGTTGTCAGCGGCCAGCCGATCCAGAGACACCAGCGGTATCTGCCTGTGTGGGTCATGAGGACTCCGGCAATGACGGAGATTGGGAGCATTCCGGCTGTCATTGGGAGGCCGCTTAGGCCTGTTTTTAGGGGGTCGAAGAGTTTGACGCCTTCGAGGTAGATTGCGACGTAGTAGGCTTCGGCGAAGAGCTAGAGTGACTTGTCAGTATTTTCTGCTTTCCTCGGGCTTCCCCTTCTGGGGGCTATGGGTACTGTACGTACAATCAACCCTTGAAGCATCCCACAGAGGTACGCTGCTGTCGTTCGAAAATCCTCAAAGATCCAAATTCGCAGAAAAGGGTTCTCGGTCCCCCACCTCTCCCATAAAATTGTCAAGACAAAACCCGCCAACCCTAAGAAGATAGGAACAAGCACTTGGGCCGAATCCCAGTCATACTGGACACCTCCCCAAGTAACCCCAATCAAGAAACTGGTCGTGCTTCCCAGGAACAACCCACAACCGACAAAATCGAGCCGACGCCATTTTGACAAAAACGAACCTTTCGTCGTCGTTCCAGAAGACACTTCAGGTCGATACAAAAACGGAACAGCCACCAAAGAAACAGCACAAATGGGAAAATTGATATAAAAGATCCACCGCCATGTCTTAGGATGCGCACATGCACCCCCAATAACCGGCCCCGTGACCGTCCCAATAGCCCAGGCGACTTGTATCGCAGCCCAATACCGCGGCCGCAAACGCAGAGGAACAATATCCGTGAAGATGGCCAGCACCATGGAGAAAATACCTCCTGCGCCGATACCCTGCACGGAGCGGCCGGCGAGAAGCTGTGGGAAAGCGTACGCAGAGCATGCTATTGCTGTTCCGATGGAGAATACCAAGATCATTACAATGAGTAGGTCCCGACGTCCGAAGATCTCGGAGATGGCTGCGACGACGGGTTGGCAGACGGCATTTGCCAGGAGAAATGAAGTTCCTGCCCAGAATGCATCGGTGGCGGTTCCGTTGAGGTTTTGGGCTAGTGTCTGATATGAACATGCTTGTCAGCGGGTGTTTATTCAGAACGAAGGTGCCATATCATACTGGTAGCGTTGGGATCAGAATTGTAGCATCAAAAGCCGCCATCAATGATAACAACGTCAGGCTTCCAATCAAGAATAAATCTGATCTAGATGCATTCCAGTCATTATGGTCCTGGAGTACTGCCATTGTGCAGCTCAGCGCACCTGCTTCTTGCAAGGTTGATGTTGGTGTTGAATACGAATCTAAAAAATCATGTTAATATCGCATAATACTCGATGCATGGCGACGCTGTACTCGGTACGGAGCATGGTTTTCTCGCTTTCCAGACTAGCTCACCCCTATCCCAATGGTTTGGTTGATCTATAACTGAGAATGTCGGTCTCGAGAATGCAGATCTTCAGCTACAGCGGGATATCTGAACGGTGGAGCTGAACGATGGAGCTGAACGGTGGAGTTGGAGGTCCGTTCTATTGAACCTAACAATGTGATATGTGGTCTATTGAATTAATTGTTGACTCGCTATTATTCAGGGACATTGAATGATCTACAAAAAGTCGCATTTTCCCTTGGGACAGCTCTACTATGTATCTCCGATCAATTGCTGGTGTACATAGTACGAAGTATCTCAACACAACAATTACTATGTCTTATTATTACATTATATACAGGGTATCCCTATTATCGCACATATTGATTCGTTCCTAACCGCAATTATTGAACCGACTTGCGTCGAAACAGTAGGAGCCTGACCATCAACCGTAACCCCACTGAGCCAGCCATATCAACCAACGACCGCTTCGTAAACTTCTTAAACACCCAATTAAAACACAAATAAAACGCCATCATCTTTCCTAATTTTTCGATCATCTCCTTTCCGTTGTAGAATATCGCATCCCGAAAGCGCTGCTGGAACACCGAGACGCGATTCCCTGTCGGATACGGCTGCGGTGGAACAGGTTGCCCAAGGAACTTGCATAGCGGTTCCCAGCCTTCACTGACTTTATACACGAGCAAGTTCTCGGGAGGAACCATCTCTTTCACAGAGGCGTAGTGGGCTTCGAACGCTTTGCGTCCGTTCGCTTCGAAGTTATCGTTGAAGTAGTGCGTCCAGATTTTTGTCCACGTAGGTCGCAGCCAACGGGTATGCATGACAAACAAGTTCTCCAGGAGTTGCATCAGTGGGAACAGGGGGTGGAAGAGAAGTGGCTGGAAGGTTCTTTTCACAGAGCTATTGATGGTTAGTACTTCGTTCTGTCTCGCTTAGGGAATGGACACACCTATGCCATTCATCGACATCCCTCTCTGTAAGTATGACCTTGGCTTCAGGGTATGCTTCTATGAGTTCTTTCGAGAAGGCCGCAGCCGGAAAGTCACAGACAGCTTGACAATTACCCAACAGCTGGTCAAAGTCCTCCCGGCCAAATGGTTTCCCAACGCCATCGTATTTGGCCCGAAGTGCTTCATACCACAGCTCGCAATCTCGAGGGTTCTCTAGCGCAGCCATATAGCCATGATATGTGTCATTATAGCCCAGTGCCCTCAGAGCCTGCCTCAATGCTGCATATGTCCATTAGCTTCAATTCGGTAAACCCATGTAAAAAAGAGCACTCACAGTCAGTCCCTGTGCGACAGAGTCCAAGCGCCAGGACTTTCATGGGCACTTGGCGCTTGCCATTTCGCCGATCAATTCTGGTGACTGTCTTGACGACATCGTGGAATTGGTAAGTTGCCATGGCTGCTTTTGGAGAAAACGAGGGTTCCGGAGATATTGAATGAGTTGTTCAGTCAGGCAATTCCGCGCAGTATTTATTCTCAACTACACTCCGTAAACGAAAGACAGTCCGTCTGCATTTGACTATGCTGAACTAGTCAGTTCATATAGATCCACTTCCCCACTGAGTTGGAGATTTATCTCCAATAGTACTATGTGGGTATCTGCAAGCCCCTGTAATTTCACGAACCTGCCCAATTGAATTCTACTTCAGCCAGCCTGCTTGGTCTTTGAGACTCAGCATGTCGATCATAGCGAACAGTTCCATTTTTTGTCTTGGCTGCTGTCGGTGCCCGCAGAGGTATACATAGTCAATGTCTTCAAATCCGGGGGATCACTTGAAATGGATATTTTGCAATCATTATTCCCAACAGGTCAAGTCCGATTCGTTGCACTTTGATATTCCTTTCGCAGTGATCGTGTTACTTCAGCATGGCAGACACTCCATTCGAAATCGGACTCATCCAATCATTTGCAGAGCAAGCCGTCTTCCTTACGGGCAGCACTGGTGGCATGGGAGGATGTATTCTGTACAAGCTTGCAGTGCAACTCCCTACAAAGAAGATATACGTCCTATGCCGTGGTTCCAAAGAAAGGGCGATAGCAAAATGGAGGAAGAGCATGGGGAACTGCGCCAATGCCATTCTCGCGACAAAGAAGGTCGTGTTTGTCTTGGGCGATATTGTACAGCCCAATTTCGGTCTCAGCGAGCACGATCTCGAGGCCATGCGCCGTGATACAACGGTCATTATACATTCGGCCGCGAGTATCGCATTGAACAGTGAACTGGCCGAAGCAATTGAGCAGAACTGCTTACCTTGCTTGGAACTTGCACGAATGGCCACCTCCTTCCCCATGTTGAAGCTTCTCGTGCAAACATCCACTGCCTACGTCAACACATTCTTGTCCGATGGCAAGGTCCTTGAGAAGATCTACAGCGACATCGCAGAGCAAGACCCCGAGCAGGAACTGCAACACATCCTGAACACCGGAGACCACCCGAACACCAACCAGTATACATGGCCGTATGCGCACTCAAAACACCTCATGGAGCGCCTCTTGCATCACCGACACAGCAACCTCCCGATTCTGATCGTCCGGCCGAGCATCATCGGCCCAGCGATCCGTCACCCGTTCCCTCACTATGGCCCTCCGGGCTCAAACCCAGCATCCACTTTTGTCCGCGTTTTCCTGTCCAGTGACTCAGAACCAATGGTCTTCCACGTACCTCAGGGCCAAACAAGCGGAACAAACATCCTCGACGAAGTCCCCGTAGACTGGGTCGCCAATGTCGCCCTACTGCACATCGCGGCAGGATCAGTTGGAATCGTGCACGCAGGAGCGCAACTATATGTCCCCCGCACGTTGGACGCGCTCCTAGGCGCCATGCAAGATAATGCTGGAGAAATAGCTCGACGGAAACAGCTTCCGAAAATCATTTTCTCTGCCGACCATTCCGTCGAGCAGTGCTTTCTGGCGGAACTGTTTCGGATATGCGCGAGGAATTGGGATTTCGATTGCCAGCGTTCCCTGCGGTTTAAGGAATTAGCCGGACCGCTTAGCCTGAGGACGGATGGACATGATATGACCAAGTTTACTGACAGCCGGGTGCGCATGATTGCCAGTGAGGTTTTGGCTGCTTCGCGCCCAGCTAAACTGTAACGTTGGACGTCCTGGATAGTTTTCGGATAACGTTTAATATCCCTGTATATAAAATAAATCCAATAAGTCAGTCGGTGTGTTCAAGTCCTGCAAATGCGAAGGCTTTCGACGTTGCATTAGAACGACAGCATATACTTCTAAATTAGGAAATCTGATCCGTCCGCGATATGAGATAAGCTTCTCTACACAACGCTCAAGTATACCCTGCACACTGTCAATCATCGGTTTCTGACGCATGGCATTTGTAACTGATGCACGACCGCATTTGATTAACGTGTTAGGAAAGACCTTATCGATAGGGTCATGTTACACGCGGTTGCATAAATAACGGCATAATGTCTCTGTCCTTATTCTTGATGAAATATTCGTTTCTTGGATCTTCTCCTCTTCATAGTCATAATTACCGTTGCTATATCAAATGATGTCTTCACAAATCCTCAACACCAGCCAATATCACCTCGAAGACGTGGCCTTGATAGGTCTGGCAGTCGCCGTCTGTATCTGGGCCGTAAATAACATCCTCAAGAGATGGAATACTAAACAAGAAGCTACTAGACCCTTAACACCAGATCTCGAGAAGAAACCGTTGGGATCGAAGTTCAAAAAGTCGGACAGGAAGCCAGGAGGTACGCTATGACCTCGGTTAAGAATACATAACGTGGTATAAGCAACTGACTGTCGTCAATACAGAATGGACACCATCGGATTTCAAAAGGCCAACGGCATCACCGTATCTGAATTGGAATGTTCATACGACAAAGCCGATACCGTATCGGCCGTTTCGATATGGGCCGTGAGTGGACAACCGTAACATTCTCGGGCATAATGGCTCACGCTTGCAGAAAATACTTTATCACTATGGGACTGAGAAGTATGAAGTGGGATGAATGGATAGGTGAGACAACATGCGAGTATACAAGGACACTTGCTCACGGAACAGAACTTGACAACCATTACTTTCGATACCACGCCGACAAAAACCGTCGAATCAAAGAACGTGGCACAAAGAGCTGCATGACTGCGCCAGAAGCAATGGACGGAGCGATCGAACTACTGGAGGAACTGTAAGTAGCCCCCGTCACAGTCCCAGAACTAGATACTGAGGCAGATCTGACACCAACAACACCAGTTGCACCTACCTCCCTGAACGCTACCCCACCATGTTCCTCAAAACACCCACCGGAATAACAAACCTCGCCACAAACGAATCCTTCAATATAACCACCCGCCCCCTCCCCGAAGACCCCATGGCCACCTCCGCCCGCCTAATCCAAGACGACCTAGCCCTAATGATCGAGCGCCCAGACGGCGACTACTACCTCCTCGCCGGCGCAATCCTGCTCCCTGGTTTCTGGCGCTTGCAGGATAAATTCGGCATGCGGCTTTCGGAAATACATACCTCGGGTGATGTTCCGCAGTATAAGGAGAAGCTGGAGAAGGGGATGATGAATTTCTTCCGAAGGCTGAGGCCTGAGGATCCTGTGCTACGGAATAATTATTTCATTCAGGTTGATGATAATCTCGCGTGGTCAGGTAGTATTGGGCCTGAGGACTTGGAGGAGGTATCGTGGAATACGGCGCAGAAGGACAAGGCTATCGAGCACCACTTTTTCCGGTCAGAGAGACAGTCTCTTCGCCGGCTTCCAAGATCTGGTGCTGTGGTGTTTACGATAAGGACGTATTTCGAACCTATTGCGGAGATTGTGAAGGAGCTGTATGTGCCTGGAAGACTGGCATCTGCTATTCGCAGTTGGGGTGATGATGTGTCCAGGTACAAAGGGAAAGAAAAGTACGAGGGTGTCTTGTTAGAATACTTAGATCGCAAGCATGAGGAGCAGATTGCTGCTGGGCTGGAATTGGAGAAAGAGGATGATGTTAGGAGTTATCCTTTTTAGTTGCTTTTGTGCATCGGGTTCTTCATCGACATCTGAATATTTTAAGTAACTATGTGCTTTACACTCGATGAAATCATAACGTTCATTGATTGAATACGATCTCAGCTGTCCCCAATGCCTAACATCCCTGTCCAGCCTCAACTTCAACTTAAAATATCCCAGTTCTCTCTCTCTCGTTCCGGTACATCATCTCCCACTAGACCCAATATCAGGCATCTAAGGAGTCGGCGCAAGCAAAACAGCCGCACAAGCCGCCTGGCAGGTCCCATACGCCGTGTTGCATGCTATAATGCTAGCAGGCGCAGAAGCACCCAAAGTCGCGCCCCAGGTAAACCCTGCAGCAGAGTAACAAGCCATAACGACGCCTGAACAGCCGGCCTGGCAGATGCCGTAGCCTATGGGACCGGCGATGGCGGTGGACGCGAGGGGGAGGAGGATTGCGGTGGAGAGCTTCATTTTTGTTCGGATAAGGAGTTTGTTCTGTGGTTTCTGTAGGGTTGGTTGGGATTAGCTGGACGCTGAGGTTTGTTTGGAGTCAAGTAGTTTGGGGAGGGTGAGCGTGTGGTCGTTGAGAAGGAGAGTCCCGGGAACTTACGTGATAGTGTGGTCTTGTAGGTTGGGAGATGGGCAGATGGGGGATGATGGATGTTTAATAAATTAGAAGAGAAGAGAGAATCAGAAAAACAAAAGAAGAGGGAGAAACAGGCAAACAAAAGAAAGAGAAGGAAGAATCTGGCAAACAAAGAGGGTTCTAACATCGAAATTATGTGGTGAATGTCACGGAGCGCAGGCATTCACCAACAACGCAAGACGTTTGACTACTTTGGCCTGTTTGAATATAGGGCAGGAACTCCCTTTCGCACATTAGGTAGTGCAGCGCTGGCAGGCCCAGTTTCTTTCTTCCCTTCTCCATGTTAGTATTCCGCTAGATAGTCTACCAAGAGACTTATATTGTTTGAGACCGTCGCAGTGATTCCCATTTCTTCGAGATGTAGGTATGAAATAGCAAAAGAGCATATGCACTGGAAGAGAAATAAGTCGTCAATAAAGTGTCTTGAATATCCAGCCGCCATGGGTAATGCATGAACCAGCCCAAACCAAGCGTATCATATTACAACAACGCCAATTCAGATGCGTAATATACAAGCTCAATCGCAAAAATGAAAAGCCTAAGCAGCAGCTTTCTTCCTCCCCCGATTCCGATTCGCCAACGCCCAAGCCTTCTCCTGCCTCCACGAACACTCATCTCGAAACTCACAAATCCGACACTTCCACGCCTCCATCACCTCCACACCCCGCGGATCCCGCTGTCCCTTCCACCAGCTCATCTGCTCCGATAGATAAGAGGTCATGCTTATAGGATCGTACAGGAACGAACGACTGCCCAGGGAGCGGGATTCAGAGGCGGAGAGGTAGCGTGCTGTCAACAGTGGGGAGAGGACTGTTGGATAAGATTCGAGGATGGAGGGCTGGTTTTCTGAGGGGATGGAGGGGGCCATGGAGATTTCGGTTTCTTGGGATGGGAGGAAGGTGAGGCGAAGACGGTCTTTCATCAGGCGCCAAAGATTGGTGAGATTATTGTTTTCGATGAGGATTGTGGTGGAGTCTTGGCTACCAGATGGGGGAATTGTAGATGAAGAAGGTGATGAGGGTGGCTTTTTCAGGGCATCTTCGGGAGTAGGGATGAAGTCGGGGTCAAATTCCTGTGAGGACATGGCATCGAAGAATTGGTCGTTTAGACCACCTACTCCGGCGACGAAGGCGTCTGTAAACGGACGATTGGGATCGAGGTTGTAGCGCGCCGCGAGTGACTCAATAGTCACATCATCGCTAGTCACCAGCCGGTTAAGCATATGGTAATATATTTGCAGCTGGAGCGCTGTCGGTCGAAAAGACGTGCTCTTGACAGTAGGAATCGACCCACTACCCTTGGTCTTGATATCCGTCATATACACCCTGGGTACCTCAAATGCCTCCGGGGGCGGCGCCGGCGGTGACGAAGCAGACCACTCCACTTCCTCATTCTGATCCCAGGACAACTCGTCCAACCGCTTCCCACGCTGCGAAGACGACAGCAGATAATCCGTCAACGACATTTGATACTCCGGTAGCGCCGCCCGCGTAGCCTCAACATCCACATAATACGACGCAGCAGACGCCTCAAGCTCCGGATCTGGACACTCATAGGAAAGCTGATCAATCACCCCGTTCACCAGCTCACCATCTACCAACCCCCATACCTCTAATTCCCTTGTCATCCCGAACTCCCGTAACGTGCACAGACCCTGGATGATATTCCAAATCCGCAACGCCAACGCATCTTCCTTGGTCGCGACCTCCACTGACACGGTCGTGTGTACCTCATCCTCCAGCGTCTTATGAATCGTAGTCCCCTGCTTCATGGCCGCTGTCCTCCTCTTCCTCCCGTACTTGGTCAACGTATACCAATACTGCAACTCGCACCACGCGGGTGAAATCAAATCCGACACAGAAAACGCTTTATTCGGGGGTCTTCGAAATCGCTCAATCGGTGTTCGCGTAGTATCTGTCGCCGGATTATCCCCAGTAGTCCCGATCCCTGTCCCTGCCCCTGCCGCAGCAGGATTCATAGCAGCAACCCATTCCTGCTCCCTGGCAACATCACGCTCTCGATTCCGTGCGCGCCCTTCCGTCGAATTCGGATGTTCGACTAAACGCTTCCAGTCAGATGTCAATAACAAAAAAAAAAATCACTAGACGAATGAAAAATAGGCAATTACTAACCAGACTCCGCACCGCCGTTGCCTGAGTTCTGCGCTGGTAGTCCAGACCCTGACCCTGCACCAGTACCTGCCCCAGTGGCCTTACTCCAAGGACCACCTGCTGGCTTGTATAATTGCCATGTAGTGCCTGGTTTTTCGCGACCCAAACCCCTAGGAATGCGCGGGCTCGAGTGCGGTGCATAGTAATCTTCGATATCTTGCGTACCAATGGTATTCTGCGTAGCGATAGAAATAGCAGCAGCCACGTCCGTCGCGAAATTTCGTGATAATTGTGATGGTGGTTGTGAGAGAGGTGGTGGTGATGTAGTGGGCGCAACCGACGCGCTCTCCGTGGCGATTTTGGCGAACAATTCGTCCACGAGCGCTTCTTGTTCCGGGGTGAAGTCAGAGCCGTAGTCGCTGTCATCCGGCGTCAATTGTTGAGGAGGAGGGTCTGCTGGGTAGGACATGCCTATGTCTATGAGGGAAGGAAGACATGTTCAGGTTGTTTGTTTAAGGTTCTTTCTGATGACGGGGATTTGGAGTTGCCCCAATGGGTAACGTCATCCATGCTCTGCATACAGTAAGCAACAAGCATACGGGACACAGTGATATGCAGTCTATTGGTCTATCTACACTATATACAAGTTCTATAGTCTATATGCCAGATATCATAATCAAGCCGCCACCGCAACCGAAGCAGAAGCAGAAGCAGCAGTCATCTCAGCAACCTCAACCTCCCTCGCAGCCTTCTGATTCAACCACGACAAATACGTCTGCCACCCCACCGCAATAATTCCCGAAAATACATTCCGGAACTGCGGCGGCACATACATAAAGCTAAACGCGGTAACAGCAGGCCACAGCTTCACGCTGTTGGTCACACTCACGGGGAGCGCCTTCTTCAATCGCTCATATGTATCTTCAAACGAGGCGCCGCTGAGCAGCGACTGTACGGAGAAAAAGTATGTGTTAAAGACGGGGGTGAAGACGGCTTGTTGGACGCAGACTTTGGTAAGGATGGAGAGGAATTTCGAGGGGAAGTTGAAGTTGTTGTGGAGGAACATGAACCTATCGCCTTGTCAGCATTTTGAAGATATAAGCCGGAGGGATGAAATGGTGATGAAGTACCAGTTATAAGAAGGAATACTCGACCCAACCCCAACCGTCAAATGCCTCATCGTCCTCCACGGATCATACCCTCCCCCCTCCACTATTTCACCTTCACCTTCACCCTCTTTTCTAACCACCTCCGACGGAAACAACATCTGCGCACTCAAATCCCCACACAAATAAATCACCACCGAACTACACAACTGCGTTGCATACGGCCTCCGCTCCTGAATCCGTGCATACGCCCGCCCAAGTCTCCCCAATGGTCCCGCGTATATGACCTCGCGCAGAGACCGCGCGCGCAATGGCGCCGGTGACGCACCGGCGGAGGAGGCGACTGTGCCGGACGGCTGGGGGTGTGGTGGGGAGGAGGAGAAGGAGGGGTTTTGTGGTTGCGATTGCGACTGCGATTGCGGAGGTTCATGGGGTCTTTTGTTCGGTGGCGGTTCGGGGGTGGATTGAGTATTGTAGCGTTTTTGGGGACGGACTTGGCGACATGGTTGTCTTGGTCGGAGTGGGATGGAGGATGGCAGTTTGTTTGCGAGAGGTCGCATTCTAGGTTCTTAAGGCTGGTAAGATCTATAGGGGTTCAAAATCTTGGAGGTGCGGTGGCGGCCCGGCGTGGTTTTTGTTGAGGGTCGATTCGAACATTGGACGCTACCAAGGGAAAATAAAACCCGTAATAAGCAGGCTCAGTCTTTGTGAGATTGAGTAAGATGATTGACAATGGAGAAATAATCTGGACAAAATCGCCTCAACTCGGTTCTCGGAGTCTGTTACCGAACACCGCAAACTCCCGATCGGGAATACGGGGGACAAGAACTATTTTATAGATAAGATTTCTATTCCATTGTATGCAAATGTCTATGCTTTGTTTTGCTCGTCACCTCATGCTCCATCCAAATCGCGTTATCAACAAAAAGAAAAATTAACAAAAACAGGGTATATAGTAACAGCAAAAACGCCCAATGAACCGAAACTTTTCTTTTTTCTTGTTCCATCATATGTATCACGTCCGGTAAGATGAGAAATAGACACTAGAGATTAGGTTATATGCAGAATTATGTATGTCAGGGAATTCGAGGAGGGCCCGCGTGAGTTGATCACTTGAACGATTCCCGAGTGTTGACACGGTCAATGTCATACGGATTCCCATCGTACGTCGCCTTTCGAGACCCCACCGTCCTCGAAGAAGCGTGACTGCGGATCTGCTGCATAGACGGCATAGACGGTAACCGACCCAGGCGTCCGACATTCGATTCCTCGCTGCTGCTGTCATCCGAGACATGGGGCGCCGGCACGGGTGCTTCGGTGCGGTCGAATGCGTCGTCTTCCTTCTCGTCCTGGTCAGACTCGGGCTGCTGCTGCGCCTCCTGCAGCTTACGCATAAACGCATCGGACTGCGCGGCGTATTTGCAGCTCTTGCGAATTTTCGGGCCGTACTTGTAGAACAGGAAGGGGAATGGCACGCAGGCGACGGCCAGGAAGGCTGGGATCGAGGAGGCCCAGTGGATACCCAGATCTTGGTACATGTAGGTTGTGAAGAGGGGGAAGGCGGCACCGAAGCACGAACGCAGGACGGAGTTGGCGGCAAGGACCGAAGCGGCGAAGATAGTGTAGGCGTCGATAAGGTAGTTCATGATACTCAGGAAAACGAGAACCATTCCGAAGCCAAAGGGAACACCGGCAGCAATGGGAGCCATCCAGTGGACAGAGGGATAGTTGGTCCAAGCGAACCAGAATAAGCCGACAGGAATGGCGACAGATGCGATCAAGCAAGGAGCCAGACGTGCCTCGGGAGGCGCAAAACCGTCATTTTCATTTTCAACCCGGATGTATCGCTTGTTATCCCAGATTGAATAAGCGACGGCCATCAACATGCCCACCATGATTCCCAGGAACGGAAGACTTCCAACACCTTGGTTCCAGCCGCGAACGCCTTCAAACACGATGGGGTATGCGGCGAACAGCATGTACAGGGTACCATAGACGATAGCCATGTACAAGGACAACAGAAACACGATGGGCTCACGGAAGAGCAGAAGCCAAGGGCGAGATAGGGCAACCTTGAATGACTCCTTGAGGGAGATTTTGCCCTGGTCGACTTCGAGCTTGCTGCGGTAAATCTTTCCAGAGCGCTTGGACAGCTTCTCTGCGCGGCGGCGCAGGAGTACGGGGGCGTAGGTCTCTGGGATGAGCAGCGAGCCGATAATCCAGACGACACCGGAGAAGGCACCTAGGAAGCCCATGACCCATCTCCAGCCGGCGTTCATTCCCAAGAAACCACCAATAATCGGGCCAAGGACGGGACCTGCGAAGTTTAGTTTGAAGAAAACTAGAACAAAGTAGTTGACAAGAACTCACCCAAAAACGGCGCAGCAGCAAACAAACTCATAGCAATACCACGTTCCTTTGCCGGGAACATGTCGGCAATAACACCACCAGCGTTGGTCAACGGCGACGATCCAAACGAACCAGCAAAGAAACGAAGGATAATGAGAGTCCAGATATTCTGCGATCCAGCAGCGCCAGAGTTGAACGCAGTCAGGGCGCAGTATGTGATGATGAAGAGAATCTGACGGCCGAACAGTTCACTAAGCGGTGCCCAGAGGAGAGGACCTATGTTCGTCAGCTATTGTTTTCCCATACACGGAAGTGGCCTCCACTTACCAATAGCAAACCCCAAAACGAAAAGCGAAACACCAAGCGTAGCCACCTCACTCCCAATATGAAACTGCTCCTCAATCTGCGCAATACCGCCCGTATATGCGGATGACACAAGCGCAACAGCCAGAGTCGCGATGGCAACTAGCATAGTAATCGTCCATTTCTTCCACTGGCTAAACAGCATTGGATTGCGCGGGTCATTGGGGATCCAGGTCACCACGTAAGGGTCCTCATCAGTGCCGGAGCCGGGGTATGGGTAGTCGATGATCTCCTGGGTGACGATGCCCTGTTCGACGACCAGCCGCCACCAGGGGATTTTGGTGGGTGTTGGTGACTCGATGTTGTCTGTCATGTTGGGTTTCTTGTCGGTAGCTGCCATGGGAGGCAGATGAGCGAGTCTCAACCTTCGAATGCCGGATGCGGGGAGTATATATCGATAAGGTGAGATAGGATAAGATCAGCAATCAACTAACTCAAGGACAGCAAGGATAGTAGGGCATATGTTTGATATCGAAGTAATGTAAGTTGAAAACTCGAACCCAGCACAGAAAAGAGGACAGACTCATCTTATATTTATGCAGCGACCGCATTTTTCTTCGTGTCGGCGACACCTCGGCTCGTTACCACATTGGGAAAATGAGCAGCAGGATGAAAAAAACGCTAAACCCCAATGGCGGCTGCTTATTGGCTACTGAGAGTCCGAACAGCCGATATGTCAGCATAACTTGGCATTAATGAGGCTTATGGTATTGTGCGCTGCATAAATTGCTTTGACGGTTCGGGGCTGGTGGGGCCGCTGTCGGAGCTAGAAGAATCTAGATAACGTTGGTCCTGCAATCTTGTACATTAATACAGCCTCTGTATACTCCTTCTGTATGTTTGCTAGTCAATAGCCATAATTATAAACACTTCAATATTGGTAATTATATATACTTCAATATTAGGATCTGAAATACGAGCACATATCGCCATCACTTCGCGTACGGGCAAAGACTGCTGACTGTGACAAGACCCTTATGCATGCATTCACACAGGCATAAGGTGGGTCTAATGCACCGGACCACCACGTTTTGGGTCTAGCGGGGCCGCTCTCGGCTTCCCGGCACGCCCACCGCCATTGGCCAATGCCAAGCATAACCCATAACGACACTCTACATTAACTATTATGCACAGATAGGAGTTACCTTATCTAACTCCGTGTCGGCGGTCGGGACTTATCTCACCGACCCTATTTTTATCGTTATCAACTGATTTCTTCTCGATCTCGGAACAACCACCTTTCTCCAGAAGATGGATATCCCCCTCGTCAACTTCTGCGAGCACAATGAGGGAAGCCTTCAATTTAGTAACCTTCTGAAAAGCCCCTCCATGACCCCCATCACTGACCCAACCATCTTCACTCACACCGACCTGTTCCTGCCAGAGCTTCACGGCTTTATTCGAGTCAAACCACAGCCGTTCCTGCTCGAAGAAGCCACCCATCTCTGCTTCAGTGAACTGCACAGGGCACGAAACTCCCTTTGTATCAGGCAAATGCGGTCAGTGCTCGGTCATCCGTACTAACGCCCTCTTCAATGTCATGAAGTTTCCGCTCCATTGTCTACCAGCCCTATCCACCAGGCGCTGGCGAAGGCGAAGGAGAGGCACACGCAGTGCCTGAATATGGAGCTTATTAAAGTAGCTGTATTATATGCGGTGGTAGTAGAAGAGACGACGTCGGTACAGTCCATCGATTTCATATTTCTCCCCGGCTGACAGCGTTTCGTAGTCTAATGGGAGTTTTGACTCTTTTGGTTCGAGGGTGTGTTCGTTATCGGGTTCTCGAACGCTCGTAGATAACCTACAGCTAGCAGACGTGGCTCGATTGTTGTGTGCTGCCAGTCGATAATACAAGAGATGGCGCCTGAGTCAAGTGAAATGAATATGTTATTTGGGTTCAAATCTGCTTGGTCAACTCTATTATGTGTTTTATGGAAAAGACACACCCGGATGACGAAGCGTGGGCCGATTCAGAGGACTATTAGCATCTTTTGGAAGCAAATACGGCGCCAGAAAAAGGTATTTGTTCAAGAGACTAAGATAATCCTCTGGATAATGTTTTTTCTTTTCTCACGAAAGAGGCCATAGGCGGAAAGTCGAGCTCTTCTGACTTTTCATATCGCTGTGTCATTCAATTTCTTTCAGTGCAATCGACCTCAGATACTCCGTTGGATTATCCCCTGCTATTTGTCAGATCTAAGGCGGCAGAAAGTTGCAAGTCAAACTCACATGGACCACGACGTATACCAAGTTCAGCTCTTCTTCCAAGCCAAAACGTATGATCCGCAGTTAGACCAATACAAAAAGTCTCTGAATCATGATCCCCTTCCATATCAGCTGTATACAACTCAGCCCGAAACCCAGCCGGAACATCTTAGAATAAACACTCCAACCAACCCCAAACGGCAAATCATAAAAACCTTCCCCTCAGTCTCCACAAAACTCGGTGCAGGCGCCAACCGTTCCCGCTTGCTCATATCCAACCACCTATTCTCCATTCCCACCCCCGCTACTTTCCCCATAACAATATACTCCACGTCAGCAGAATTCCTCCTTAACACAAAATACCCAGAAATCTCCGGCACAGGAACTCCCTTCTCGTGTATATATTGCAACACAGCAACTTCACTAACAGTGGCATAATACCTGGGCACTGAAATATGATACATGATCTTGATGATTACTTCGAAACTATCAGCCATAGTTAATAGGAAGACGTTGTTGAAGCCGCCTTCGGCTAGTTTTGTGATACTTGCTGCGTGGCCGTGACTGGGGAGATATCTCCCGGCTTCTTAGGAGGGCATTGGGGTTGAATTTGATGTGGCGCTCGTGGAGGCGCAGGTCTACGTTGAAATGTATCTGCCGAAAGTGTAGGTGAGAGGTCTTTGGCGAGAACTAGGAGACTCACTTGTGTGATATCCAGAGTAGGAGGATATGCTGCGCAAGACATATGAGGGAAGACGTTTGTTTATAAGCATTTTCCAATCTGTGATACTTAGTCTACCGCATGAATCGCTGGGAGTTCTTCGGCCGAGCGCAGATTAGAACAGCGCGGATGATATTGCTTTTAGATTACATAGCATGTTGCTCTACAATGGCCGTCAACAGGTCAGCCATTGCTCGTATATTTATTATTTTCTGTCACTCAAATTCCAGATCGTATACTAAAAGTGCCCATCAGCAACTCTGATTGGTCAGCTCGGGTTATGACATCATGCTTTCTATTCTCGATTTCAGTCCGGGCGCTAATCCATTTCGGGAAATAGCATGGTTCCAGTCTCAACCAATCAGAACTACCATCACCACTTAATATCAATTTTGCTTTTCACACCAGACGCGATGGATACGAGTAAAAGAGATTGCTGGGAGGGTTTGTAAGATGGGTCGAAATTTGTTGAGGTGGGATAGAATCTATAAATGTGATCGTTACCCGTGTTTCGTGCCACTCTCTCAAACACCCAACGCTCTTTTGATCCGGCAGTCACTCGTTTATTCCTTCATACTCTCAGAAAGGACAATCCTCAACCAGTCTCTCATTGTATACGCTCTCAGTTATATTCATTCTCAAAATCCAGTACGTACTCCATTCACCACCACCACAATGAAAACCCCATCCCAAACCAGGCTAACCCTTGCTCACCCCCAGGGGGAGAAAAAATGGCCCGCCTGAGCCACGAAGTAACCGTCCTCCTCATAATCATCGGTTGCATCGCCTTCGTCTTCATTGGCTATGGTCTGTACGCCCTCTCAAAGGGCCTCGAGCACGAAAGTGACGGATACCGGAACCCATCGAACGAGCAGGCGCAGTATATGCGGGAGGTTAGGGAGCGTAATTTGGGGGTTTTGCGTTCGAATCGAGGAGGGTGAGGGGCGAGAGGAAGGGTGGGGATAATGATATGGTGTAGGGATTTGGTGTTTATGTGGATATGTATGACGTTGGGTTTGGGAGTTTGGACTTTGATATTGGTTGGGTATCTTGGTGTTATTGATGTTTTGGGTTTCATGTACTCATGAATGCAGCTGTTGAGGTCATCTCATGCTGGTGGCATTTATCGGATTCAATGGAAGGAAATACTCCCTTTCTTCCCACACTCCGTTGGCGCTTGGTCGATTTCTCGTGAAATGCAGAAAAGGTCGAGTTTGAGGTATGCCATGGCAGTTCAGCTGAACAACAACATTTTTGCGAATCCGATGTCCCTCAGGGATGGGAAAGTGTTCATCGCCAGAGAAAAACTTGGCATTTTCAATGTCGTCTTCGACGGTAACCAGATCCTCCACAAATGGAAGATTAGCCAGTCTCTCCAGTGGTATTTCCTTAACCTCCATTTCAGATGAATAGTCGGATGTCATCGAATTCGAAGCCCGCACCATCAAACCCTCCATCCCCCCCTCCTCCATCCGAATATACTCCTCCGCACTCGCCACCCGAGGTTTACACTCAAAGAACCCCTCCTGCGGAACGCGTCGGAGCAGCGCCAATGCTTCTCGTCGTAAGACCGGGTCACGACAGCTGATAGCCGTGAGAAAGAGCGGCTGGCCTACGCCAGATTCGAATGTGAATGGTGTTTGGGAGATATCTGGTGTAATGCTGGCGAGTGCCTGTGATGCGTGTTCGACGATGATTCGGAAATGGGACAGATAATTGTCGAAGGCGGTTTCTCGTTGGGTGAGGCATGTAGATAGGATTATGTATATGGCTGCATGGAAGGTTCGTAATGTTGAGACCGCATTTTGGTACATGTGATCTGGCTGGTTGCTTGCCAGTGCGATAAATAGGCGATACCAATCTTCAAGCCGTGCTAGAAGATTTTGCCGACGGTCAAAAACCTCCGCAGATACATCTGCTACAGATCCCGCCTCAAGAATATGGGCTCCAGCCTCCCAACAAAAAAGCAACGACTCTCTCATAAGAGGCGCAAGAGCGGCCCGTGCAGCCTCAGCAGTCAAAAAGCCAGTATTTCCCCGATGATCTGCAAGAGCAAACAGATCTTTAACAACAGGTACACCCGCTGTCGACAATGCCGCAGTTCCCAGTCGAGAGAACAGGGGAATGATGGTATCTTCCAAAAACGACGCTCTGGCGGCGGATGCCGTGCGTAGTTCGTGTATAAGAGCGATACCCTGTTCATATAATTGTAGCGCCTCTTTCATATGTCCCTGCATGGTTTCAATGCAGATGTACAAAACGCAAGTGACGACAGCGATCTCCTGGTTAGCTCTGTTCTGCTCGATCAGTTTTCGGACATTCATCATCGAGCGCGAGTACCAGTTCAACGCTTCATTCTTCTCGTTACCCTTTGGAGAAAGGTCAAGTGAAGGCGTTGGACTCTCGTGAAGAGCACTGATGGCAATAACCGCATCCCATACCGCCGGTTCCGAACGGGACAATTGCAGCACGGTATCTTTCCAGAATTTGAGATCAAGTGCACCCGCAATGGACGATGCACCACGATAGAAGTAGTGCTGGAAAGCACGTCTCTCCCTCTGAGCTGAAGGATCCACTCTCGACCCCGATAATCCCGAGAGGAGAGACGGTGCCAGTGGTGATGGCGTGCCATATCTCGACACGGTAGACACTTGATATTCGCATTTCCGCCCCGTGCTGGTACAGCGCTGGCAACGCGGTCGTGTCTCGTCGCATTTACTTTTCGGGATCTGAATGGTCAGCGATGATTCCACGTAGGATCAAGAGTACGTACTTGCAAGTAGCACAGCCGTTACGGGACTTTGTCAGGCCAATTCTCGAGGGTGAGGTGGACTGGCGCATCCTTCAAGCGTTCAGTCAAATGAGTCTGGTTTGTCCACATTGTCTCTTCCTTCTGCGCATGGTTTCCGGCAATTCCTCGTTGGTTGAAAGGGACATCCGTGGCTATTTTTAGTCGGTCGCGTAAATTCGTCGATTACACGCGAGGAACGCGACTGAGCCTACTTCGCTGACCGATATATGGGATGCTCAATATAAATCGCCTTCTGTATAATCATGTACAAATTCAGCATGGTGGTACTCTATTGTTGAAATACGGAGTCTTTGCAGGTCCAGGATATATATCCGCCGTGTCCATGAGTAGTCAGTTCAATCACGAATACGATATATTTCTCTATTCGATCATTCCGGTATTCTCCATTCTAGTCCGTACGCGTGCTATTCCCAAATCAAGCTCTGCTGCTGCAGTCATCGTGTCGCGACCGGTGGGATACTCCGGAGTACTCTACAGAACGTTGTATGACTTCAAATTCGCCACATCGGGAAAGTATGCAGTCTACGAGCATTGAGTCACCCGGAGTCATCGCTCCGATTGCATCGTACGTAACCACCGCCCGGCCTCACATACACGTCATGGACGGGTAGAGACGCGGTCGCGTCGCGGAGTCAAGCAAGCGCGACCGTAGGGAAAAGACAAACATGGCTACAGAGAAAAGTGCTTTCAAAGTGCATTTCATCATGAAGTGGTGCTTGTTACAGACACCACGGTGGATAGCTTTAATGTACAATCGGACGAGCCTTGACCAAATCCACCAAGCCGCATCTCAACGACTCTTCAGTATTTATGGTAGTCAAAGCAAAACAAAACACAAACCCAGTGCCGGAACCCAGTGATATTTGAAGCAGAAACCCATCATGTATCGCCAGTAGTCATGAAAAAGGAAATTAGAAAAAGCAAAACCCCATTATCGCCTTCCCAAATAGAAACGAGTAAAGATCAAGTATTAAGGCGCATCTCTTAAGAACGCTCACCGCGGAGACGGCGGGCAAGCTGGATGTCCTTGGACTGGATGGTGACACGCTTGGCGTGGATGGCGCACAGGTTGGTGTCTTCGAAGAGGGAGACGAGGTAGGCCTCAACGGACTCCTGAAGGGCACCAATGGCGGAGGACTGGAAACGGAGGTCCGACTTGAAGTCCTGAGCGATTTCACGGACGAGACGCTGGAAGGGGAGCTTGCGGATCAAGAGCTCGGTGGACTTCTGGTAGCGACGGATCTCACGGAGAGCGACGGTACCTTTTTATCGTTAGTATAGGTACCAAGATATACTGGTCGGTGGTGATAGACTTACCAGGCTTGTAGCGGTGAGGCTTCTTGACACCACCGGTCGAAGGGGCGGCCTTGCGGGCAGCCTTGGAAGCGAGCTGCTTACGGGGAGCCTTGCCACCAGTGGACTTACCTAGAAGTAGTTAGTAAGAGATGAAAGATGAAAAAGAATGATGAAGACTTACGGGCTGTCTGCTTGGTTCTGGCCATTGTGGTTGATGGACTTGGATGAAAAAGTGATAAGTAGAGATGGATGGATGAGGGAGATGGAAGAAAGACGGAGACAGCGGGTGGGGGAAGGAAGTATTTGTAGTAAGCGAAGGGAGGGAAGGTTGATCTGGAATCGCCCTATTCCCGATTGGGTCAGCGTTAGACGAGAGAAAAAAAGAACCAGGGAAAAATGACTGTATTGCATCAGTGATACGCTGCCCTCTGATTGGTCGGGTTAGAATGGAACAGTCAGGTGCCGCTAAGCGAGGCGTCCATTCCGCACCAACCAATCACAGCACAGGATCACGGCCATCAACCATACCAGCCTGTTAACGCTTGATCCCAACCACAAGGGAGAATCATACCCGCCATAACTCGTATCATATAATTAATTACCGTTTCTAATACCGTCCTGATCTGTTTGATCTCTTCTTCACTAGTGGTTGGGCGTGTATTGCGTGTATTGCGTAAGATCAATTCGGTCCCGGCAAATCACTATTCCGAAGAAGATCAATCCGTCCGTCGGATCCTGCCCTCTGATTGGTCGATCCGAACATTAGCGTGGTGATTCCGGTAGCGGCCCCGCGTCCAGCGACAGACGATACAAATATCTCCTGCTCCAGACTCTCTTCACTTCCTCTTCCTCTCCTCCAAAGCTATCTACGTCTCTCCACATTTATCTTAACTACTTTTACCTTTTACCTACTCAACCTAATCTCACATCATGTCTGGCCGTAAGTCTTCTATCAAGGATCTTCAGCAATGACTGGTATCTAACAAGCTTCTCTACAGGCGGCAAAGGTGGAAAGGGTCTTGGAAAGGGTGGTGCCAAGCGCCACCGCAAGATCTTACGTGACAACATCCAGGGTATCACCAAGCCCGCTATCCGTCGTCTCGCACGCCGTGGTGGTGTCAAGCGTATCTCCGCCATGATCTACGAGGAGACCCGTGGTGTCCTCAAGACCTTCCTTGAGGGTGTCATCCGTGACGCCGTCACATACACTGAGCACGCCAAGAGAAAGACCGTCACCTCGCTCGACGTTGTCTACGCCCTCAAGCGCCAGGGCCGTACCCTCTACGGTTTCGGTGGTTAAACGATTTTTCCTCCTTATTCTCTTTTACCGCTTTATGTCATCTTCCTCCTTTTTTATATCCTCCTTTGCGCTACAACAACAATACACCACCATCCTGCGCGATTCGACGCGTAGAGGATACGCGACGGTTTGCTTTTCTCGGGTTGGTTTCACGGTATGACTGGGACGTTGAGGTGTTCTGATCTGTTTTTCGTGTCTTTTACAAATCATGGGTCTGGGTTTGGTTTTTTATCGTATTTTATTTCCTATTGCGCGTCCACTATGGGTCTGCTAGTGTTCGTGAGCTTTTCATTTTCTGTATCATAGCGGCCTTTTCGCTTCGGCTGATGCCGTAAGGCTCGATCGTGCGAGCATCGCGATCCATCTGAATAAACAGTCAGAAACGATTTTTCCTATGCGCTGTAGTTGCGTCGTAGTTTTGTGTTGACTCGCGTGTGCGGTGTATTTACGCGTCTTGTGTTTTGGTCTACGCGTACTTGCTGTTCGGTCTACCGTTGTCGTGTGCATTCTGGGATATCCTGGTAGTCGGCGGTCGTGTCTGTTTACTGAGTAACACTGTAGGTGCTAGTTCTGCCGTACCTCATCTTAGTATTCAATGTTAGTTCAATGCCTATTCAATGCGTGTTCTAGTTTCTCTACTGGGCAAAGCTCCCCCGTATTCTATTTCCTTGTCTGTAGCCACCGGTCGCGTCTACTACACCATACTGTCTCCGTGTGTGCGGAAATATGGTGTCCGGTATAGCATAGTAGTCCATCTCGTATACGTGATATCTACATCTCTGACAATTTTAAGACGATAAATGAAATAGACGGGTAGTCTAGGTTACTGTACACACTCAATATATACGAAAATAGTATATTCATAGTGTTGTGTTGGTATTGACCGGGAGTGTACAATACCTACTTGAATGTATATATATCCAAGTGACACTCAATAGAAGAACCACCACATCAATGATATACCTACAAAACCACGGAAATGCCAGGCAAAAGCAGCATCAATTAATTCCCCAGACTCTACTCTACATGTAGCACATTATAAGACCACCAAATATGCCCATCTGAATGCGCGATCACGCATCGTTTGTTAAGAACTCCCTACATCAACGTAACCGCAGCGGAAAACAACGAGCTACAACCACACCACAACGACCTTTTCTTTCTCTATTCCTGACTGATCCAGCTCACATTACTACTCAGAAAAAAACCAGGAACACCGCTTAGTCTTCAATACCTGCAAAATAAGAAAAACCACACCAAAATCACCACATCCAACAAAGAGTTCAACTACCCCTTTCGGGGGTTCAACTTCCCGGGTTCAACATCCGCGCTCAGCTTGACACATCAGCACACCTTTTCGAACCGGATCAGAGCGGGGTCCGCACGCACACCTGAGAAATATGCTTGATCTTGATACCCTTTTTTGTGAGTTCAGGTTTTCGCGAGGGTTCGCGCTTGGTGTGCTGGACTGGGGGTTCAGATCGAAGGGGGTCCGCGGACCACCCGCGGAAGGAGTGATTTGGTTTCGCTCAAGCTCGATTGCGAGGAATGGATGGGTGATTATAGTGGGATACGGTGGTGAATTGTTTCGTATTCTACAGATCTACGTTTCACGCGTTTGGAAAGCCGTGCCATTCCCAGTTGTGATTGTAGTTTTCGGTGCGACGAGATTGAGGTCTACTCGAGTTGGGTCCGCAGCCAGGCCGCTCTGTACTACTTTGTTCCCCAGTTGGCTTCGCCCTCAGGAAATCATGGTGGATGATTGATCACGGCGAGTGATACAGCGGTGCTATTTTGCATTCCACAGAGCTACACCTGTCTGACCATATGGCAGTATCATCTCGGACCGTCACCGTGCATATACTCCGAAACGGATGCGCTGACGTAGGGGTTCAACTCGAATGGGGTCTGCGACCAGATCGCCTCGGGTTCAACAATCCATATGGCAGAGACACGGATGGGACGGATGGACGACGACATGGTGGGTGTAGACTGGTGCATCCTGCATCTTGTCTTTTCCTTTAAAATTGCAGTATCATTAAGACCATGGCCAGATAGCGAGCAGCGCCATAAGGCACGACGTAAAGATATTGTGGCTTAGTGTGGCTGGAGTGCTATACATGGATAAAGATGGATAATGATGCATAGTCCGCTATGCCCACCTTCCTATCCTGTACTCCAGTTAACTTACCACCTTCAACTACTGCAGCCATCGAATATCTATGTACAGCAGATCAATAATCTCCTGCAAGTACATGGCAGTTGACTCAACATTCATACAATATACGAGGACTTCGGGATCAGCCAATCGCGGTAAAAGTATGCTACCTGCTTTGTGCGTTGGACCAATTCATACACAAGTAATTGCTGCTCTGTATATGTCTTGGAGCAGTGCAGCTTTTTTCTGCCTAGCTTTGAGTAGTTAATTATAAAGACCGTGTTGGCCAAGCTCTAACATTCAATTTGCATCTCGGACCTCTTCCCGGGCTGACAGCTTCAAGGTCAACCGGGAGAACGTCCGACGCCGTAACGCTTGTGCTTAATCAAACTACAAATAAGACGACCAGGTCTAATCTATATATTCAAATTTAGAATCTAGTCCATGAGACAGTCGCCAGCATGGTCCACGTTAATCAATACTACCTCCCACCCACAAACCTCATCCCCAACTCCCCGCAACCTCTCCTCCACTACAAAGGCCTCCTCTCCGAATCCGATCTTCGCCCCGAAAACATACACAACAGATTCCACCAAAATGGCTGGAAAACACAATGGATCTTCCGCTACGGCCCAACTCAGCAGTCCCACTACCACTCCGCAGTTCACGAGTGCATGGTCGTCCTAACTGGCACAGCGACAATCCGTTTCGGAGTTGCTGACACAGACTCGGACCTCGACAAGAACACCTGGTCCGGGGCTAGAGAGAACGGTGGTGTTGAGATTGATGCACGTTCCGGCGACGTCTTTGTTATCCCGGCTGGCGTGGCGCATAAGACGTATGATACTACACCGGCTGCGCCGTTCGCTTTGCTCACGCCGGGGAGAGGACGGGGGATCCAGGCGGCGAATGTGGAAGAAGCGCTGGCGAAGGTTGAGCTTACGGGGTTTACCATGATGGGTGCGTATCCGGAGAACCGTGGTGATTGGGATTTTATAATCGGTAAAGAGGATGCTGGAAGGTTTAAGGCTGTATGGAGTGTTGCGAAGCCGAAGAAAGACCCGGTACTTGGCGATGACCCAGATAGCCTAGTTGGGCTATGGAAGGATACACCGGAATTTTATGCAAAGATTTAGGATGTATTTAGATAAGGCTATATTGTATTCCTCTTTTACTGATATTCAACGAAGTCAACGTACCAAGCCACAAGCTGGGCATCCTGCCGTTATCTCCCCACCCTCTGGTGCTATCGTCTATTCTTGCCCGGGGCTTTCCAACCATTACACAGTGGATTCATGAAGTACCTCCCTTGGACGAATTCCGAATGGAGGATAGCGACAACCGAAAGTCCACTGCGGGGAAATCTATAGTGGTCGAATTGCAGGATTGGACTAACCAAGGATACTACAGGTCTGATAGCAATAGGATTCTTGTTTATCTACTCAATCTGCTAATACAATAGTGGAATTGCGGGGTTCGGCTGCTCACTTCTCTTTAATCATCTCGACGGACGGCGGACAGGCATCTTTAATCCCACCAAAACTCAAACCGGCTGTGTTTTATGGTATAAGTAAGCCCGTATGGGTGGAACCACCAACGATCCCGCGAAAAGGTGGGTGGTATACGCGTAGGTTTTCTGTTTTTATCTCTTCCCGAGTGCTTGCTAACAATCGTAACAAGATGTCTGCGATGTCGTCGGCAAAAGATCAAATGCACAGGCGGCTGCCCTCGCGACAATTGCAAACGTCGCAGGGCAGCGTGTACATTCGAGGGCGAAGACACCAAAATCCTGGTTACAAAAAAGCACCTGTCGGAACTGAAATGGCGGACTATTGAGTTAGGGAAAGAGATCAATGTCTTGCAGGAGCAGTTATCAGGCAACAATAGGTGCGCAGAGCCATCAATTGACTATGTCGACCCAATGCGCTCTCCAGTGATTGGCACGAACTCTTGTAATATCATCTTATCACCTGATCCGAGTTCTGACATGCTAGAGGCTGGTCTTGATAATGATGGTCATAGGCATGATGCTAGGATGGTGAATCCTTTGTCGACTGGATCACCGAGATACATCAGAGACATAGTTGGAGGCCCGTGAGTTTCACCGTTGCATTGCACTGACAGAACTAATCAACTAATGGATTACCATAGACTATCTCGGACACACGTCAAATTGGCCACTGACAATGCGGCTTCTCCAACTCAGTCACCAGTCCATCCATAAGTCTCCCTTCCCCACTACAGCACAGCATATAGACTCCGCAACCTATGATTTAGGATGGGACGGCCTTCGGACAACCGCGATTCCTGACATCATAGGACTTCCCTTGTTGGGCTATTCCCTATTCCTTATCAATGCTACAAATTCCACAAAGGTCAAATCTTTCATCTGTTCGATGTGCCAACATTTATGCCCCAGTTGTATGAGCTCTATCACAACCCAGCCGAAAAGATACACACGTCTGGATTATGGTTATTCACTTTCTGGTCATTATTGTCCTTGGTAAAGGGTTTGTGGAAATAAATACCAGGGGCAGGGCTCCACCGGGGGGCAAATAAGTTCAAAAGGGCGTTTCTGATGCTCCCGGATTACTGCTATTTGTGGAGAGACCCAAGCACGTCTGCTGAGCTGCTGAGCTCAATGGATCTTTATTTCCAATGCATTGACTGGCGGACCTCTGCGCACAACCTGGTAAATTTTCGTTCTACTTGTTGTCTGATACAACCTACTAACGATAGACAGGATAGGACAGGCTTTGCGCATTTTGTTAGTTCACGGCTATCACACTGGTGTACCCCCCCCTCGAGGCGCTAGGGACTCAGGCAACCGAACGATATCGGGGTATCTGGTGGACGGCTTATATTCTCGAATGCAAGATGTCAGTCCTAATGGGTGTACCTTTGGGCATAAGCAACTGTGAATGCTAGTATTAATCAAGGGAGACTTCTTGATCTAGGAGATGGCAGCATCCACGATCTTAGGGTTGCTGTAGCCGAAGTTTATAACAGCGAATTGGGAAATCATGTCGATGTATTTCTCGCCGTCAACATCATACAGCTTATAGTCACCAGCTCGCCCGATGGCGACCTAGATTTCTCAACCTTCAGCCAAGAACTATGACTGCGTCATGAAAGAAGATGCCTTACCGGAAAGGGCGCAAACCCGCCGCGGACCTTCTGCTGCCACAGATCAACGCTATATGCAGGCTTTTTCGAAAGACTTGGGGTAACGAGTACTCCTGGGACGTCATTCTCGACGCCTGGAGATTGAGCGTGAGGTGCCATTGTTGACAGTTTGGCAGAGGAACTTTGTAAAGACTGGATGCGGAAGGACGCCTAGAAAGTATTGAAGCAACAAAGTGTCGTATTGTGGCTCCTGCTCGGCCAATATATATACACTTGCATAGACAGTAAGCCTGGATAAACTACCATCACTTAGCCTTGACGAGAATAACCATCTGGGATGCTCCTACAAAGCATACCAGGGAATGGGAACATGGGAACCGAGTGTTCATCGCCATGAACATATGTGAGGTTGCTTCTTCTTGTCCACTATTGGCATGGAGAGCCATCGCCGTCGGTTACTTTACTTGGTTATGATCTAAAGTGGATCAGAGATGGGATGATCTTTTCATTGGACTGTAGTTGTTTGCAGCTTATCATGATCAAGTGCATGATAGGACTTCTTGTTACTCGAGACTCAACCAACTCGGAAGTCCAGACCGATGCCAATTTCAGAATCTCTTATTGGTGTGTCGAATACTCCGTACTCAACTGTGATATTATCTCGGGAAACAGAAGGCATTAGTTTCCAGTTCGCTGTCGGCTGCTCGCTGGAGGGTGTATTCAAGGACTAGTGGAAGCCAGACAGAGAAGATGCTTGCAATGGCTTTATTTCTTCTTATTACCACTGTACTGACCAAATCTAGATTGGTTGATCGATTGACTTTCAATTCAGCGTTGCGCATGGCCTTTCTACAGACAACCCCGCTGTTCGGAGCCAGGACCCGAATACATGAGACAATACTAATGACCCATCGTTAGACACCAACCATAAGACCAGACTTCGTGCTTGGTACAGCGGCAGAAAAAGAAGTAACACAGCCTTACTTCTTATCCGTTAGCGTATCAAAACCATGTTTAGAAAATGACCTCCATCAGCAGGAAGCCTGTTCGATTGGCTATGCTCGGCTGTGGTGAGTACAAAACAATCGCTATTTCTAAACCTGCCCCCCATTTTACACTCATTACTGACCATAATCGGTATACTTCCATACAGGCCACATGGGAAAGGCACTCCTAACAGCCCTTCTACCATCGGTTGGCAAACCAGAAAGCCCCATATCTCGCATCTCAGTCGCCGTACGAAATCAAGCATCCTCGGAACGATTGAGTGCCGAGTTCAGCCACAATACCGCACCAATAGACTTTACGAGCAATGCCAATGTGAAAGTCGCAGAGAATGCCGACGCCGTGCTCCTAAGTTTTCCACCGTATCTTGTCAACGACGTTCTTGGAGCGCCTAGTATGCAACGTGTGCTTGAACGAAAGTTGATAATTAGCATTCTGGCTGGTATTTCGACGGGCCATATTAAGGATGCGATTCATGGCGCTGGCACTGATGGAAAAAAGAGAACCGAGGACAAGACTACAGTGATTCGGGCCATGCCGAACATCGGGACTCGAATTCACGAATCCGCTTCTCTCCTTGCTATCCCCCACAACCCTGCTGATAACAGATATTTGAACCTCGTCTCATGGATATTCCAACACGCCGGGAAAGTATATCCTATCCCAGATAGCATTTTTGAAGCGGCTACGGGGGCGAGCGCGGTAAGTTATGCATTGACTACCGTGGCGACTGAGGCTATCGTAAACCAATGCGTGGAAGAAGGCATTCCAAGGCATACAGCACTGCATATTGCATCACAATACGTCCGGGGGGCATCTCCTTTGGTATCAACTGGTATGGATCCTGCGCATTTAGGGGAATCTTTATCGGCACCGGGGAGCATAACTGGCCAGGCAATTTCAGAGTTTGAACAAGGCAACCTACGAACCATGCTGGCGGATACTGTTTTTAAGGCGGTGCAGAAAGCGAAGAGTATGGGATTTCAGCAGCATAGTGGATAGTTAAACCTCTATGGTGACAAAATGAAAAAGCATTAATAGATAAGTAACCAATTGCAAGGCTCTCGCGTAGCCTCCCATCAAGTCATTATAAGAGGTGCTTCATAAGGTTCTGCAGACACAGGACACAAATCAACGCTATTTTCCCCTTTCCACATCTTCTGAAGCGCCTCACGTGTACGTCGCGCAGTTCCCACTCCATGCTTTTCAATCAATTCAAACCACTGCAGTATCTCTGCCTCGATATCCTGTGAAATAACCTCTGAAGCCGCCACGGAAGCAGGCCAAAGCACAGGACCTGCCCAAATACGCTGCTTTTGTTTAACCTTCTCAATTTATTTGAAATGGTGTATCACTATTTCCACATACTGCTGTACGTGGCGGCGGCGGTGTGACAGTCTCGAACAATATAAATTTATTGGTAGACTCTCTATCGAAATACTAACATGGAGAAGGAAAGAAAGAAGCTGGGCCTGCCAGCGCTGCGCTATCTAGTGTGCGAAGGGGGTTCCTGCCCTATCTTCAAACAGGCCAAAGTTTACAAACATCTTGCGTTGTTGGTGAATGCCCGTACTCCGTGACAGGCGGTGCATCCGCTGGACTCTGTGGCAGAAGAAGATAATGATGGCTTGATGGAAGGCCCTCATGTGGTATTGGAGAATTAGCTTGTTGCCGTTGCTTAGTGGCCAGCTATTCACATGACGAATGGCGTCGTTTATGGACCATTCTAGGATGTCTTCTTCTAGCTGCTCCCAGGCTACTGTGAGATTAGTGCTTGTTATATCTTGCTCCTTTTGAGAGAGTAGTCGACAGGCTCGACGTAATAGAGCCAGCAGTTCTGGCGGAACCCAGTGGATTAGTTCACAGGAGGAATTGGCGGGCTCTTCACAGTGCTCGTCAATTGCTAAAGTTGATTCCAGCTCCTCAAGAAAGGCATCTGAACGGCCCTGAAGCCTTGTTTGGCTGTTTTCATTTGGAATCTCAGTGGATGCCACGTTACACATACGCAATGTCCCTTCTGCATAGGACGAAGAAAGAAAAAGATGCGATGCAAGGCACGGACAGTATGAGAGCTCTTTTTGTTTTTGGATGGGTGGTTCATATAAGTGACAATCAGACTCTCACATCCATCTGAATAAATCCCGCATGTCCTCGTGTCTCCAGAAATAACATCAACGGTAACCATAGACAGCATTGCCGCCAAATGTTCTTTGTATTCGGCATTTGTCGATGCAACGTCACGGGTACCGGCTGACTCGCGGAGGTACTTGACTGCCTGGAGACGGTGATTGAAGTGATTGAACGCTATTCTTGCCCAGCAGTTGGCGGCATTGCATTGGTCCTGGCATATGTATCAATTGTGCAGATTGTACGCACTGCACACAAGAACGGCGGAGAGAAGGGCCTTTCGTGTAAATGCTGACGTGCCTGTGATCTCCATTTCGCTACTACACTGGAAAGATCGGGCTAGGTGGAATTACCGCCAGGGTGTGTTTCCGTTCTCTAGTATACTAAATATTGGGAGGGCATGCTGGCAGTAGTGATCCAACAGAAGGCGAACTTGCACGGTCAGAAATGTCAGATTGAAAAGAATACGACTTCCCCCCAGCTCAGTTGTTGCAACCTGGTCTTGTCTAGTGAATTGGCCCTGACCATCTGGAAGCATTGCGTCAATTCCCACCTCTATTGCGAGGTTCTGCTCCACAGACGCTTCTAGTTCTGTCCCTGGCTTCTTGTTCAATCCATTCTCTATGACCAAACCACCCGACCGTTGCGCACCGGTCTGAGTTACCAGGGAACAACCACCCAGCTCACTGGCAGTGACTGGGACATGTTCTTCTTGGGATGACAGCCATTACCATCTCCTATATTCTCCGAAGAAACTGTCCCAAATTCGAATTCCAATTCCAGACATGAAACAGACAGACTGTCGGGAATTGGATCTAACAAACTATGTCTGTTCGAGCCCGGGTTGTCAGAGAAAAAATAATTATCCAGATCCTCCAGTCCTTTGTTTGGCTCACGGTCGATGCGAAAGACGGAAAAAGGGCCGCTGGGATACGTATGAGCTCCAGTTTCACTTTGTTCAACGTCACATAGAGCAGCATCCAACTGTGCATCGTTTAAGTGGTCCATCGTCGCAACTGCTCAACAAAAAACAATATGTTAGCAGCATACCCGAGAAACAAGAAAGGGAGGGAAGGTACTTACCAGGGAGGAGGCGCCGTTGCTGGAATCGACGTCTTGTAGTGTTAATATTGCCCCTCAAGCCCGGCCCACTGTCACCAGGCCCCAGCCACTGTAATCTAGTAGAGTAACCCTCACAGTCCAATCCTCGACGTGTTCATTGACGACAGCTGGGCTTTCTCTCATCACATTTCAACCTGCGCGAGCGACAGGTCCAGCAACCGGTAAATGTTTTTATCCTGGATTGATGCTGCATCGTTGGGGTCCCAATCATTGAACAGCCAATGCACGACCAGGAGCCGTCCTGCGCTAGTTATACGATAGTTAATCGTTATTTTCTATTGATCCTTTGGCATAATCAATGCTGGGGAAGCGGGAAAGAAAAACAGGACTTTTCGCATTGTTATCTAACGCCGCGGTATTATTTGAAAATGCGATAATAGCACCAGATTGTCCGTATGTAGCCCTATGTGATTGATAGTTTCTTAACAGAGTTCTTCCTTTATTACTCTGAAGAGTGCCTAACCCTATATTCCCCGGATGTATACTTTACCCGCTCCGCATCTGGCAGCGCCATAGTTAGTAGAGAGCCATGACGTAAGTGGATGTGGCTTGATGTGGCTTGATATGGCTACCAGGGTCTTTCCTTTTTCGTCAGTCTTATGTTCATAAATAGAACGGTTATCCCAATGAAAACCACGAAGATAGGGTATTGTACATTGTTACTATGTCTACTTTCTGAGAGGTTGGAGCTTACTGCCAGCTTCACAGCCCGGTGCCTTGCATTTGTAGTTTTTTGTATGCATGCCTACGTACACTGATGAGCTAATTGGAAGGAGCCGCGACAACACCCTGTATCCTATGTAGAAGGATAAAGAGTAATAGCGTACTTGATATTCTTTAGGAGCCAAGAGAATATCCAAATTTCCATCGCTCCGAGAAGTAATTGATCCACCCCGTACTATTGCAACATCGAAACGTCATACAGACGAGCTATATGTTCGACCAGCTTTAAAAGTAATTCTAGACACTAATCTCTATACAGCACCGTTATCACATATTCAACCTATATTCTACAGCACAGTACTCCGAAACAAGCAGAACAAGCAAACAGCAAAATGCCACTTCCCCGAAGCCGCATCACATCCCTCACCCACCTCTCTCACCTATGCCCAACCACCACAACCACCCTCACAACCACACCTCGATCGCAAACGCAAGCAACCCGCCCAATTTCCATAAGCGGTGCCTACAACAAACTCTTCAAAAAATGGCGCGGCATGCCCCCCCAGGAACACGCCGTCGACCGCACAAAGCACAACGCCGACACCACAGACCCCGAGACCAAAGCCTCTGGTCTCGGAATGGAAGAGCGAGATCGCAAGGAGGGCATTGCAGATCGGTCGCAGAGCCAGGCGACTACTGAGCGTGGGGGTTCGGGGTATGGGAGGAAGGCGAAGGAGGAGCATCCGAAGGCGCCGGAGCCGGTTATTGGCATGAATGATGAGAGGGCTCAGGTATGATTTCTTTTGTTTCTTTTTGGGAGGGTCTGGGGGTGGGCGGTATGCTGACAGGGCATAGAGGGGTCAATGAATTAAGGGGTTCAGTGGATTGGTCTATTCTATTGGATATGTACGAGTATTTTGCAATGTTTCATTATCAAGTCATCAGTGTACATAGTAGTTACCGCCCGGGTTTGAATGAGAGGACCTATTATTGTTAGCAGAGTTCAACATGGAAAAGAGCAGACAACGTACATCATGCTTTCCTACGGCCACAATCTCATCTTCAGACACCCGGGTACCACCAACACCCTCGACGTACGAAATGGGCACGTCGCCCATGACCTTTCGCGCAACATCACCCACTGTACTGTTTCTATTTGGAGTCAGTAGACAGACACATTCGGTGCAGCTGGTAGATACTCACTTCTTGACCAAAACGCAGTCCCGGAAAACAGCCGTCCCCGCACCAGACGAAAACGTGTGCAAGTTCCTGACCGGGAACACTGGCACCAAGCCCAGGAGTTCTGCTGCCCGCGAAAGACACTGTACAACACCAGTAGACCCGAAGCGGTAGAGGACCATATCTTTCATGTTCTCGACACGGCTAGTAAAGTCAGTAAGAGCATAGGGATGTGAGCGGGTGAACGCACGTCTTTAATTTCTCGTCCATCTCTTTCAGACCTCCACCATCAGGCTCGCCCATGTCGATGAGGTCTTCCCTTGTGTCTAGGAATTCGCTGCCTTCTACATATTTAATGTAGTTTTGCTTTGCTAACCTCCGGAGGAAGACTTCTGATACCGCAGAGCAGAGGACGATCGACTGAGGATCTTGCATCTTGGCGATTTTGCTGATGTTCTGTTTTTGTCAGCAATGCCATCGGCGCAGGATTAAGGAACGCACCTTATCTGAGTCGGGGTGGTCAATCTTGTTCAAGGCCAATACGGTGGGGAATTTCTCGTCGATGAATGCCCTGACGACCGTCTCAATCGTCTCGTCTGACCACTCATCAAGTGGCTCCTTCAACCCAATTTTATCCAGACACCGTATGACAGTTTGTATTGTGCTTCCGTAGCCGGAGAACTGGCCCTGTAGGGTTTCGGGTGCAGTCGCCTCTGTCTGGGTTAACAACCGGGATAAATTAACGGGAAGGTGGTTGGCTAACTGATTGCGACATGTCTTCTCTTGATAGAGCCCCTGGACTTTGTTAGTCTTTGCGACTTTCCCCCGATTTTGTAGCGCATACCATTTCTGCATCAAATTCCCCAACACCCACCGCACGATCTCAGAACGGAGCCAGTCGATATCTGCGGACGGGTCATATCCTCGTGTTGCCTTGCCTGAAAGCCAGTCTGTCAGCCCTGCGAACAATTCCTCCCCCAGACAAACTAACCTTCCGCGTCTGTTGTCCCGCTAACATCCACCACATGGATCAGAGCATCCGCATGACGCAGGTCATCCAAGAACTTATTACCCAAGCCCCGTCCTTCGTGCGCCCCGGGAACAAGACCAGCAACATCTAGGAGCTCAATAGGAACAGACCGCCGTCCCTCGAAGCAACCTCCATAATTCGGTTTGCACCTATCTGAGACATTGAATCGCTGGCATGCGCATTCTATTTGTAGGTAGCCAATGGCGCGCTGGGGGTCAATGGTGGTGAAACTGGTCGTGGATTAGAGATATGCAATGAAGCGAAGAATGCGACGTTCGACTGCGAGGTAGGGCGTGATCGAGGGTTAGACGAGATAGCGACTTACGGGAAGTTCCCTAATTGTGACATTTTGGTAAGCAATTGCGCATACATAAGCCGAGTAAATAGTCAGTACATACCAACTTTAGAACTAGCATCTGTCAAACTGTTAAGCGTCGTTGACTTTCCACTGGAAGGCTGTATATCCCTCTGGTCAGCGGCATGCGATAAGACCGAAGATGGACGGACAGACCTTGCCAACCAACCCAATCAAAGGATCGCGGGGCATTTTGAGGGTCAGGAATCAGGTGCAATGGGCACAAGAAAATATAACACAATTTAGAAAAGCCCTCGAAACTGCACACAGAGACGAGACAGCAGGAAAAAGCGTCTTCTGTGCCGGCGGGGAACGATTTTCTGCCGCTTTGAAAGGGGAGGCGGTGGGTCATTTTTAATGCATTTATGCAGACATCGCGACCTGAACTCCCATGCCAATGCTCGACGAGATGTAAGTGATTGCTCAATTTGGACTACAGATGCTCTATATCTAGTGGAAGCCTCAAGCTACCGTGGCACCCAAGAGTATCTCCGGAGCTGACAGGATGCCAAAAATTATGCCACCGTGACTGAACAGTACTCGTGGCGCGACTAAGGCTCCTTCGATAGGTCGATTGACTATTCGCCTTCCAATTGTCTACGAGCAAAGATAGGAACGAACACTAAGCTCTCTTCGCCATATTTAGGTGGACCCGCAACTGCGCTGGATGCAAAAGTGCCGGTATACCTGCGCCAATCGGCCAGCAACACCTGTTAACAATCCGGCGCGCACTGCAGAGCCATGATTGAGAGCTTCGGCCACAACGATAGCTTGAGTTCTGCCAATATCTGGAGCGCTGAAGGTGCAGTGGATTTACATAACCAACACACTGTGACGGGCCTATGATGTAGAGCCCCCCAATCGATTCTCCCAGCAAGCGATCACGATATTGCTTTCCAGAAACGATTGTTAATATCAATATGTTCATCTAGTGGTATTATTCCCTGTGTCTTGTCCCAGACGTGGTTATTGTGGAGTTGAAAACCAACTGGACCAGGCCTTGGATACTTGGAACTTGGAGACACGCATTTCGTCATTATGGCATTGACGCCCCAGCCATGGTTGAAATGAGCATATAAAAACGCCTCTTCTAACGCCTCCAGACAGCAGCATCATTCTAAATCTACAAATCTACATCTTTCAATCATTTTCTCTTGAACTTTCTAAGAACATCACACAATCACAACCTTCAGAATGACGAGCCACACCAACGTCCAGGACCTCCGGAAGCAGGAGACCCGTACTGCTCAGCAGCACAACGGCACAATCCCCAAGGATTCTGAAGTCTCCGCCTTGAAGGTGAGTTATACCCGCAACTCTGATATGTAAAAAGCATACTAAGATCTCAGTCCATGGTCAACGAAAACACCAACAAGTCCAAGGAAATTGAAAACCACCGGAGCAACCTGCCATTGCCCGAACAACCACCAACCGCTAGCGACTGGCAGTCCGCCGACCAGAGAACTGTCAACGTCGGCTCCGGAAGCCGTGAAGGTCCTCTCTCTGGTGAATACAACAGTGCTCTACGGGACCCTGCGACCGCATCGAGCAGCGTCAGAATCGACGGAGACGAATGGCACCGCAGCACAGCGCCGTCAGGCAATGTTGGACGCCAGGCGACGGAGAATCTGGATGGACTTCCAAAAGATGCTCTTTCTCGGTAGGGGGTTAGTTTAGATATCTAAGATATTGTATTTCTAGCATACTTTTGTGGAGCGATTGGGATAATGCAAGTTTTATGATTCATGATCTAAGATCATTTGCATCCGTACTCCGTAGCAGAGTAATTTCTATTCTAATATTGCCATATGTCCAGTACGATCGTTAGTAAAAATAGTCAAAGCATTTTTGTTGGTATATTCTATTTCATCTACTTAGGTCCTAATAAGATTATCACTTTCATTATCATCGCCGCCGTATACTCCGACCGTCTCAGGCTTAGTATATCACGTGACCATATTTCCAATTATATCGAAGCTGGCTAGAACAAATATGAAGCTTGACCCGAGTAGCTCAATGAATTCCACGGACCCAATAAGATACCCTAGGTATGCCCTTTACCACTACAGGGACACTCCGTATAATGACTGATGAACACAGATGATGTTGCTCGTCTGGCCATGACGTCAACCGACCATGTCTCTGCCCAGTTTGCGATCTCCAGCAACCCCGAAGAACCATGGCACAATAGCACCTTCTGTTTCCGGATATGGCTGGTTGGGTGCATCACACACTGGGAAACACTGTTGACGTACCTGGAAGCGTGCCACCGTCAATCTGACATCACCTGCAACATGCTGCTCCTGTCTTTGCCTATATAGCGTTGCCATCGCTCTCTATTCGCCTCTACATCTTCAATCATTCAGACAATCAATTCAGACTTGCAATAGCAAACCTATATCTACAACTACATAATATACCCAATACTTTACGAACCTCAAATCACAGCAATCATGGATCTCCAAGGACAGCCCATCGGTGCCTCCAGAAGCACTAAGGTGTGTATTTCATCTTTGTGCCGTTCTTGTATTAAAAACTAACGATAATAGGTCACTACCGACCCCCAAGCCTACCAGCAACCCATCAGCGAATCTTCCGGCCCCGTCCCTAACGACTCTCTCGCTGCCGAATCATCCACCCACGGCGGTGCCTTCTCTCAAAACCGCGGTGCCGAACCCCTCGGTGTATCTGGCACCCAATCTACCCTTAACAACACTAACACCTCTGGTGCAACCACACTCCCCTCAGCCGCAGTCGGCACCGCCCGTGAGAATCTCGACAGACAAGAAAAGTACCCCGAAGCTCTCGGCGGCCAGGGCAACTTCCCCGGCACCCACTTGGCCCAAGGCGGCTACACGGGCGGCCCAACAGCCGCAAAGCAGGGTCTGGACATCGGTTCTGGCCAGGGCTCTTCACATAAGGTCGGCGGCGGTGCTGGCGCCAGCGGAAGCGGCTACCAGAGCCAGTACAACGCGGGCCAGGCTCCCTCGTATGTGAGCGATGTAACCGAGCAGCTTGGAAACACGAAGCCGCATGGCAAGAACATCCAGGAGGGTGGTTTTGACAGCGACCCCAAGTACAACGCTAGCTTCAACAACCAGATCGGCAACAAGCAGGATCCTGGTCGGGCTGGTTTGAATGACCTCCAGTATCGGGTGGCTCAGAGTGGCCCCGATGCTGGTGGTGGTCCCAGACAGAAGGGTGTTGACAACCAGCAGCCCTACGACGCGTTGGAGCGGGATCAGCGCGCATAAAAGTGATTTGTTATGACGGGAATGATGAATTATGGTGTTTCAACTTATGAGCATGTTTCTTATTTCACTTTGGGATGCATTATCTGTATAATAGATGACTATTGAGACAAAACGCACATGTCTTAAAAATAAGTATGAATTGAATAGGGCGGTATGGTAAAGCATTCACCATGCAGGAGTCCGTGTTGCTCTGTAAGGTAAATTTGATGACTATGTTCGCCATACACCCATCATCTATTTTTGAAGACAAGAAATTCGTCATGTGCCTGAAATTGTTATGGATAACAGTCCCCATCCAGTATATCGCCCGGTCACAAAAAAGTCCATATAGACGCTGTGTTTTGAAAATAACCATTTGTAGGGATGCCAGGGCGACTTCGCAATACTCGAATCCTGTATAATTTGTCAAGATACAACAAGAATGGATACTGAAGAGCTGGAATTAGATACTGTAGCCGGGAGTGAGGGGTCTAGTAGGTCGAAAAGAAAAGAATGTGCTATTAGTGAAGAAAAGTATAAAGGGAGATAAACATATTGAGTGATTGATGGGATATAGGCCTATTATTGCAGGCTACATTTGCGTGGAGCTCACATGACAAGATCGTCCTTATAAGAGAGCAATGGAAATTGGAAAGTTATGAGTCAATCTATTCTACTACGGCCGTAGTTGATGGGGTAGAAATCCCCTTAGCCGACTTGGGAACCCTTTCAATTACGCCCGGAGTACTGACAAACATCCACGGGAGTGTTCAAGGAGCCGGAGTCCTTCAGGTAATCAGCACCACTGCTCAGAGCCATCACCCTCTGTAATACCCACTGCATCTCAAGCAGATACCAATCGGCAAGCGGCCATTCAACCGCATCATCTTTCTCAAAGCGGATGATAGTGCTAGTGTTGATAAGCTTACTTGTTTGAGAACTGTAGAATACCGGGTAGCTTCTAACGCAGTAATAAACCCCAAATCTGGGATAGAGGGTCTACGGTCTTTTGCCTCATGTTTGAATTGATTCGGCCAGAAGAAGCGCATTTTCAGTGCGTTCCGGTCGTCGGAAAAATAGATTGGTTATAGGGCAATGCACATTTTCCCCTAGAGCCGGTGGGCGTTTGGAGATAAGTGGAGGTTAGCACATGACTGGGGGTTTCTTTCAGGGCTGTTACTGCTCTCTCCCAGCGCTTGGCTGGATCAATTTTCCAGAAATATTGTAGGAATTCCCACAGGGCGCCGTGGAGAATGACAGTCGTATTGGACCAGAAAGTTGATGAATATATGTGTGCGATTTGGTTGCCCACTTCGACTTTGTTAGAATGCAGTTTTCTCCATCTCGTAGAAAGCACTGGATAAGTTAGCTTTATTCCAAATTATATGATGACGGTACTTGTTAAATGTACTATTTCCACTCCATTTTTCAAAGGTTTCCCTTCGTCATCATGCTCGAAGGTCGAAGCAATTCTTTTGACAGCCCTATACTATTCCTATAGCAGACAGCCATTAAAAAGAGATGAAAACCACATACATGTAGCAATCACTTGTGGTGGCAAGGGCCTCAATATTGTGAATGTGAACTTGTCGTGAGTTTGGATTCTCAGCTTGTTGGATGAGGGCTCTCAGCCTCTCGATGTCCGCGAGCCATATGCGGCGAAGAGAGTTGGAGAAAACTGTGCAAGATCTTCATCCTCGTGGATTTGCTGAATTAGTTTGTGACGCCCGGGTTTTGTGTATTCCGATAAAGTACCAGGAATGAGGGTCATACTAGAGAAAAATAGATAAGAAAATAAAAGAAAGACGATGTATTGAGTGACTATCCCCAACAGGCTACATTTGCCTAGGCTTCATGATATCGCATGAGAAAAATTTCCTTTTTCAAGTAAGTATAGTTAAAATACATCCAATTTATTATGCCTTAACGGGACGCCCTTCTGATGTCGATAAGCAACCTCCGCCGACTTTTGAATCACCCCGTATCTTTTTGATTGATATTCTGACCGGATCGAATAATTTCAAGGGATACATCTAAACACAATGTCAGCATCCTCATTCTGCGCTAGAAAGTCCGCTCTATTCACTACCTGGAATTACCTTTCTAGGGTAGAGTTCTCACCTATTCGCGCCGTTGGTCCTCGGACCATGGCTACGACTACTGGAAAAGCAAAGGAGTTTCTGTGCATTCTCCCGGATAAGCCTAATGCGCTTGATATTAGGAAGAAAGTCAGGGCGTAAGTCATGCGGATCGATTTCTTTTGACCTCTGACCCAACTATTGCAGAATCCATTACGAAGAAATTAAACCTCTTGTTGAAGCGGAAAGACTGGTTGCTGGTGGTGAGTTCCCTACTATATACGCTGCAAAAGTATATCGAAGCTTGTTGGTAAAGGTGCCATGCTCGACAAACATCTAGCAGAAGGTGAAGATCCGCCGTTCAAGGGCAGCATGATTGTCTACACCGGTGAAAGTGTAGAGGACGCCTGGGAGGCCATTAATGGCGACATCTATGCAAAAAGTGGTGTCTGGGATCTGAAGAGAGTTCAGATCATTCCTGTAAGTGCTTCCCCGGTATTGGGTGATGGAAGTTCGCTAATGACCTGTTAAGTATGTGTCGGCAATCCGCAAACCCATGCCTTGAGAGATCATTCTTTGATACAACTTGTACATAGTCTAGCTATACAACAGAAGCCAAACCAACCCAGATATTCATTCTGGCTGGGAGTTTCAAGACCTCGAATCACGACATGAGCTCGCGTCTATGACTAGACCTGGCTTTGGGCCGGGTTTGGGCCGAGTTTCAGGCCCATGGCCCGGCCCACAAGGCCCATGGATGGGCCGGGGGTCAGGTCAGCCCACCCATGGGCCAATGGGCCGGCCCATGGGCGGCCCACGAAATGCCCATTTGGCTCCCAAATTGCATAAAACTAATGCATAACTTGCTTACTTAGCTCGATAAAATACCATCGTTTTGTATACCATCTCTTAACTATGCTATTAATACCAAATTTACAAATGCCTTTTGATTGCAGAGATATATATTCATTGTATACAGTACTCATGTATTTCACCTAGCAAGACAATATCTTAAATATTTCCATCATATTACTATTTTCGTATATAAATCTAAGAGTTTAATACGGTCTGATTAAAATCATAATAACTACTTTATATAAGCATACAATATAAAAAAAGTGGCTTGATTGATATATATGAGCTGATCGCAGAGGTGAAAAAAAAAAAAGTTCAGATGGGGTTTTCAGCGGGGGGATGGCCTTACCCCCTGAATTTTGGGCCAATGGGCCGGCCCATGGGCCAGCCCATAGACCCATTGGATATTGTCCAATAAGGAGGCTTTTAGACCAGCTAATCTGAAGTCACATGTTTAGCTTTTAGTGCTGCTTGCATTTAGTTATACCTCATGCAATCTCATAAGTTAGTTGACTTGGTCTTCTATTTGATCATTTTTACATCTTACATACATTTACTGCCCTTCCATCCTAATGTCTCAACCATCTGAAACCTACCCCTTTCCCCTCATTGGGAGTGATGCTATAGATGATTTATCTTATCTCCAGTCTGAGAGTATTGCGCCCGAGCATTCTGCAAGTCAAATAACACCTGAGACCTCTTCTCTCCCTCCTATACCATCTACCTTAAAACGTAGCGAGGATCGCGCTATGACCTGGGTGATATATGAAGAAATGAACAAG